TCACGCCGTTACAGCCTTCAGTTTTGTCAGCGAAACTGAGCTAAAATATCCCAACAACAGGCGCTGGAATTTCAAACGGTTTTATGTGTCTGCTCTACAAGACTATCTACAACAGGTGGATTGGGATGCTCACCCTCAACACGATGTGGATGCTCATTGGGACTTCATACTGCACACGCTCTTATGTGCTACAAAGCAGTCAGTTCCTCAAACGGTACCCAAAAGCCACATGCAACCTACAATCATCAAGAACCACACTCTTCGTTTGTTAAGCCGTAAAAGACACGGTTGGGCAGAATACAAACGCACCAACAACAACGGCGAGTAAAGGCAATACAAACATATAAGGAACATATGCACGAAGGCTATAAGAGAAGACAGGCTCCAGTGCCAGATAAAGCTTATGGATAAATTTATTTCCAATCTGTAAAGCTTATTCCGATACGCAGCCTCTCTTCGTCAAGCCAAGACTGGAGTTTCTCAACTGCTAGGTCCCAACGGTCCGACCGATAACGACGGTGACGCCACCAACCTTCTGGCTGAGCAATACTCCCGGACATTTCAACCGACCCACATCAACTATACTGATGACGGCTTCACCTGCAACTGCACAGGAATTTCCGTAGTGAAACTGAGCGCTGACTTGGTGTTCCGTAAACTACAACACCTAAGAACAGACACTTCTCTTGGTCCAGATATGGTCCACTCTGCTACACTGAGGGAAGCAGCTTCAATCCTGGCAAAACCGCTTGGCGTGATGTTCTCACACTCGCTAAGTCGAGACGAACTACCGGGAAACTGGAAGCTGGCTCATATCACACCAATCTTCAAAAGAGGTCGACGCAGCGAACTTTCAAGTTATCGACCAGTGGATGTGCTCTCTATACCTTCAAAGATAATGGAGTCCCTGGTATATGATGGTATACACGACTATCTGCTGTCCTTAAATTTCTTCTCACCCCAGAAGCATGGTTTCAGGAAGGGTTACTCTTGTATGACCAACCTGCTGACTGCAGTGGACAGTTGAACAAGCATCCTCGATCGCAAGGGGAAGGTGAACATCATTTACCTTGATTTCTCTAAAGCTTTTGATAGGGCTAATCACATATGTCTTATCGACAAGCTCAAACAATTGGGTATCAAACCACCTTTAATTGACTGGCTCAGTTCATATCTGAAAAATCGACATTTTAAGGTCAGGGTAAACTTCAATTTCTCACAAGCTATGGAATGTCCTAGTGGGGTCCCCCAGGGCTCAATATTGGACCTCTTCTCTTCCTGATTTATATAAATGATCTTCCTCAACAGGTAACGTCAGGATTATTGCTCTTTGCCGATGACATGAAACTTTAGAGAGAGAGATACGCAACCAAGAGGATATACAGGCACTTCAGGAGGATCTGACTCGACTTCAAAGTTGGGCAGATGACAATGGACTTACCATTAACACTTCAAAGTGTAAAGTAGTCCGCATGCGACATGTCGCAGACTACAGTTAAAACTTAGGAAACTCCTCTCTAGTAGTATCCTGAATCGAAAAAGATTCAGGAGTTCTGGTGGCCTATGACTTAAAGTCTTACGCCAACTGTGACAGTAATGCCTTTCGAGCAAACCTTGCACTGATAACATTGAAGCGCATTTTTAATCAGTTTGACGGGAGAACTTCCCACATAATCCTCAGCAGTTTTATTCGTCTCCATTTAGAGTACGGAAACATAGTATTCCCTCCTGCACTCCAAAAGGATAAGGACACTCTGGAGCGTATCCAACGGCGAGCCGCGAAATCAGTTCAGGCACCCAAATTTAAACCTTACGATGAGCGCCTCCAGTCACTTGAGCTTCACCCATTAGAGAATAGGCGTCTTAGAGGTGACCTTCTGATGGCTTACAGTATCCTTAACACTTCTGGACATACTCTTAAACACCTACTTAAGCTTAGTCCCAACACTAATCTAAGTGGCAACACGCAGAAATCGGAGATACAACATAGTAGAACGGACTGCAGGCGCAATATCTACTACTTAGGAGTTGTCAAATGCTGGAATTCTCTGCCGGCTGAGCTAGTTCAAGAAACTTCCCAGGAGTCTATTCTTAAGGACTAAGGATAGTATCTTACTATGATTTACCAATTTCTTTTTTTCACTTTTATCGTTAACATGCCTAGGTTCTTGCCTGGAGGTATTGGTGATCCTCTGCTACTAGAAACGGAAGCATGTTAAGCGAAATTTTCTTCTATTCCGTCCACAACCATTTGAACCATACAGTCCATAGATAATTGACATTTTCTGAGTGATATCTTGAATATTATAAAGCGTGCTTCAGTACTATGCACTTAATCCAGGGATTTGCGAAGTTCATTTTCTTCGTTTAAAAAATGCATGGTGTTCCCGGTACATTTTCCTGGTTGGGAGTTCACGACCAGCAGCCCATTTCGTGATATTGTTTGTTTCGTAAGAGAGCTCGTGAGAGAAAACGTTCAGAAGTAATGTGGCGTTGATTCTAACTCATCTTGATTATCCTTTAAAATTTGGAGATACAACCCTGTCGGTATTTATACTAAGGATTCATGAATGAGTTCTTAAGTAATTGAACATTCCCTAATGGTGCAAATGAGCAGTTTTTGCGGGCTGAGACTTGTGTTTTGTCTTAACGACACGAATCGTGATGATAAATTGATTTCGTACTAACTTACATAGCAGTATAGGCACAACTGTGTCAAGCCGGATATCTCTGAACGTTGACAAATTAAAAACCCGCATTACCATCTTAAAAACACTTTGAAAGTCGTTTATAGTTCTTTCTTCAGATTGTTTCTCAATACTACTAACTAAACTTAGATTCACAGCCTATACAGTTAGCGCAATTTTTCAGTAGTAGATATGTCCTCAGTGGGACCAAATCAAATATCTAGGGACGACTTGCATCGTGGTCTATCTGAATTCACTTTCTGTACCATTCTGCTTTTAATATAACCTGAATAATCACGATCTGATATAATGTGGTTCATGTCTAATCAAAGTCAATGGAATCCAATAGATAAAGATTATTGTATTTTCAGCTTATCATTTCCAGGTCTTAAACTGCCGTCTGGAACCCATGGAATATTGATTAGTATAATCTGTGGATATCGACTTGCTAGACACGCGCAAACAAGCCGAATTATTAAAAACATTGGATCGCACAGTCAAGTCAAGCTAATCCTTGATTTTATTGCGCTCTTGAGCTGATACCTCTAGCTTAAGCAGACCAAACTCGTGAGGCCCTTATTGTGTCGACGTTTGATTTTACGGATGCATCCCACAATTCTCGACTTTCAGTACTGCCTGTTTGTTATTTGCGCTATTGATATTTCCGTTTAAGAACTTCTGCTTATAGATTGCTCATTACCAACTATATTTTTGGGTCTACTATGATTATTTTATTTACACCTGAGGCTTTATCAGTGCTGAAGCTTAATACGTTTTCAAAATCTGCCAGTTGCTTTGTATCATCTCGTGGTTGTTAACAATCTGTCGGAAATTTCAGCCCTGTTCGGAGGCTCAAAAGCCTCAAGCATTAGGAGAGGTGCCGTGAAGCACGATGTCTTGCATTTTCAACATGATTGTGATTATCGACACAATGAAAATGCAGCTGAGCCAAGTCTAATATACATATTATGTTACCAAAAAGAGACATGTGAGTTCACCAATATTTTTTTCGAAACATTGAATCAAATAAGTAGACATCGAAAAAAAATACTGCAAAGAATAATAAGTATTTGACATCGAGACTTATTTGCACTCACTGGCCCCCATCTTAACAGACTGCGCGCTTACTGAAAATTCCAAATATAATACATTCAGTTGCACTCGTCTAGATCTGTCTGCCAGGAATGGCATCATATCGAAATCTCTTAATTAGCAAATCAGTCTAAATTATTCTAATTGTCATAGTTCCTCAGAGAAGTCAGAATATACACTGATCACCAGAAAGTTTCATATCGTACTAACGAAACAGTAAGACTATACAGCTTCACAAGTGAGCAATTTGACCGAAGGTGCGCAATCCACTCGATGTCTCATGTATACTCATAAAAGGACTTCAGGTGGAAACTTATATGGAAATAGATGACATTCCTTTTATGGAACTTTAACTGGAAATGTTGAGTAAGAGATATATTTACGTATTTGGGACGACCGAAACTATAGTTTGCTCAGGAAGAATAATTAAGTCTAACATCTTAACCCTGGCAATCAAAGTGAAGGTTGTGCAAACGAGATATATCCTTAATTATGAGAAGAAGTGATTTTTAGGTTCACTCTATTGGCCAAAACATAATGTACCAAAAAGAAGCCTCGATTCTGAACACAATACATTTTACTCATTTAGTGAAAGACATAGGTTCCAGTATTAGGATATTGATAAGTAAATTCTGACAATCACGGGTCAACAAAACAATAGACAGTTGCCACCTGATTGAGCGCCTCTATTCACTTCAAGGTCATCAGTGGTTTCAGCAGTAAGATCCATTCATGAAGTCGTTGACTAGTGAAATAAAATGTGCTGGTAGATCCAAACTACCTGGTTTCGATTCACAAGGGTTATCATAAACAATACTCAATGCACTGTTTATTCCTACAAACTGTTTTACAACACACACAAACTGGACTCGATGGTGGAGAAGATTTGTAGCTCAGGTGGATGATTTTGATGGAGTTTTGTTCTCTGAGCTGGATGGTTTGGTCGTGGAGCTTTCATCATTCTTCTGAACGACACCATCAGCACAAACTTCAGACTTCACTTCTATCTGAAGTTTGTGCTGATGATGTCGTTCAGAAGAACGATGAAAGCTCCACGACCAAACCATCCAGCTCAGAGAACAAAACTCCATCAAAAACTAGACTCGATGCATTTTCATTACAATACGTAAGTTAACATTGCGATTATTAATTATGTGATATCCTATGTCAATAAATCCTACTCATTACATAAGTCACAGTGATAGAAAACAATTAGGGAATACAAAATTTCAACTGGATAATATTGTAAACAGATTACAATAAACGAGAGATCATATTGTCATTTGTACTATTTACATGATTTACTTGTTAATACATTAAATACATTACATAACTAGAATGCAGGTAAGTAACTATGTAAATATACAAAAAAGATAGTTATCTTATAAATTAGAAAGGATACTTTCACAATTAAAAGAAGGAAAGAAAAATTTAATTTCTTTCAATGCATTTTCATGTGAATCTGTTAATACAAACAAACAAAAGAAAAAGGGGGGGGGGAGGGAAACAAAACACCAAATGAAGTCAATTCATTACAGTATATATGAATGAACTAAATGAATAAGAAAAAGAGAATTCAGCAAAGAACATTTTGTTTTTGTCAAAATCATTTACTTATGCTGTACATTCGTATATATAATTAGATATGGAAAATAATTGTCACCCATCAATTCAATTTACCTTAGAAGCAGAAGCAAACTATGAATCTATATATAGAAAACCTACTTGGAATGGACAATACACGAACTTCTATAGTTCGGTTCGATTAAGTAGATAGAGGAATTTAATTCACTCTTTATTCTCGAGGATCAAGCAAATCTGTTTACAACGACACAACAGATGGGAAATTGTTTCATATTCGACAGAACCTCATCAAAAATGGTTATTCATCAAGATTTGTTGATAGCAATCTGGCACCTAGACTTCATGACAAAGCATCGAATGTACAGAAGAAAATTCTATTTATGAATATGGAATTTAAAGGAGACACGGCTGCTGAAATCCTAAATAAACGGATTTTGAAATTGTTGAATAAAACATTCTACGCAGCTAAGCTGCGAATCATTTTCTTTAGCCGACCTATCATTTTGGGATGTGTTAAAGAGAAACTTCCATTTTGGGCCACATCAATGTGCATATATAAATTTACTTGCTCATGTGGAGCACGTTACATAGGCCACATAAATCGTTCATTGTCTAAACGCATCTCGGAACATTATCCGGCTTGGCTCTTAAAAAGAGAACGTAAAACGATTACTAGTTCGATATAGGAGCATTTAATTAATTACGGATACATAGCTCCAAAGGACTCTTCATTTAAAGTAGTCTACAGAGTCAAAGGAACTGGATCAAAGGGGGTTCGCTTTTCTTCATATCTGTGTCAATTGAACTATTATCTGACCCATAAATTTTGTTTTTCCTTACCCCTTGATTAGTATGTGAACCTCATTTGTTATTTATTCTTGAATCCATTTCTGTGATACAATCCTTTCTATTCTGTAATAGACATACATTTTCCATATCTAACTACATATATATGAATGTACAGCTTAAGTTGTAGTGTCTGTCATTATGTTAAGCCCAAATACCTTATTATTCTAACTTCCGGACAGCCCATTCTATTCATTCTATTTGAGTCACATTCTGACCTTGTTAATTATTCGCTTATCAATGTCTTGACTGTCTTTGTATGAGCGCGTAGGCATATGCACACTTCTTATCCCGTTACTCATCACATGTCTGTAATTTATTTTTGTGGGCTTACAAATATTGATTAACTCTTTGTTAAAGGAGAGTTGGCTTCTTCACGTCGTTCCTCCGTTCGTTTGTCTAATCAACAATTATACGAAATATATGCATTCAAAACTCCATTCTCATTATTTGACTTATTTAATTCCGTTATTAACTAACGCGATTCAAGTCAATGATGATATACGAGGATAGACGATAGCAACCAATCATTACGATCAAATTGGAGTCAGATCACCGGGCCACTACAATGGTGATCCCGTCACCACAAGCAAACACATCAGGCTACTAAAAAGTAAATGATTTTGTCGAAAAGAGAATTTTTTTTCGTTGAATTCTATTTTTCTTATTCAATAACATTATGGGTTATTTTAATTAATTGAACAGCTGTAAGGATCCTGATAACAAAATGATAATGATCAATTCAGTTTAAGAAATAATATGTCACATCTACATGTAAATGGAATCTTGATCTAATAATAAATTGACTAATACAAACCTATACACGATTCATTAAAAACTAATTGTCATTTTGATGTACAGTTAAATCATTATTCAATTTCCCCCCCCCCTTTTTTTGGTTTTGTTTTTCATTTGATTAGTCTTCTGAACTGATACAAAAGATTCAGATCATTCATAATTATTGTGTAAGCTAACTAATACTAATCCATTTCAACTTCCAAACAAATATCACCTTCATTGATCTTTCATATACATAATTTTAAAGGATCTGAAACTTTTCGAATCTATTATTATTATTATTATTATTATTATCATATAATCGATCTTAGTAATCTCTAGACTTTATATAGTTACTACCTCACCCTGTGGAGGAAAGCATCGAACTGTGTCACGAGACACGCCCTCACAGAAAATCCTCAAGGACGAAGGAGGAGAGGAAGACCAAAGAACACATTACGCCGAGAAATGGAGATAGATATGAGAAAAATGAACAAGAATTGGATGGAACTAGAAAAGAAGGCCCAGGACAGAGTGGGTTGGACAATGCTGGTCGGCGGCCTGTACTCCATTGGGAGTAACAGGCGTAAGTAAGTAAGTAAGTAAGTAAGTAAGTAAGTAAGTAAGTAAGTAAGTAAGTAAGTAAGTAAGTAAGTAAGTAAGTAAGTAAGTAAGTAAGTAAGTAAGTAAGTAAGTAAGTAAGTAAGTAAGTAAGTAAGTAAGTAAGTAAGTAAGTAAGTAAGTAAGTAAGTAAGTAAGTAAGTAAGTAAGTAAGTAAGTAAGTAAGTAAGTAAGTAAGTAAGTAAGTAAGTAAGTAAGTAAGTAAGTAAGTAAGTAAGTAAGTAAGTAAGTAAGTAAGTAAGTAAGTAAGTAAGTAAGTAAGTAAGTAAGTAAGTAAGTAAGTAAGTAAGTAAGTAAGTAAGTAAGTAAGTAAGTAAGTAAGTAAGTAAGTAAGTAAGTAAGTAAGTAAGTAAGTAAGTAAGTAAGTAAGTAAGTAAGTAAGTAAGTAAGTAAGTAAGTAAGTAAGTAAGTAAGTAAGTAAGTAAGTAAGTAAGTAAGTAAGTAAGTAAGTAAGTAAGTAAGTAAGTAAGTAAGTAAGTAAGTAAGTAAGTAAGTAAGTAAGTAAGTAAGTAAGTAAGTAAGTAAGTAAGTAAGTAAGTAAGTAAGTAAGTAAGTAAGTAAGGAAGTAAGTAAGTAAGTAAGTAAGTAAGTAAGTAAGTAAGTAAGTAAGTAAGTAAGTAAGTAAGTAAGTAAGTAAGTAAGTAAGTAAGTAAGTAAGTAAGTAAGTAAGTAAGTAAGTAAGTAAGTAAGTAAGTAAGTAAGTAAGTAAGTAAGTAAGTAAGTAAGTAAGTAAGTAAGTAAGTAAGTAAGTAAGTAAGTAAGTAAGTAAGTAAGTAAGTAAGTAAGTAAGTAAGTAAGTAAGTAAGTAAGTAAGTAAGTAAGTAAGTAAGTAAGTAAGTAAGTAAGTAAGTAAGTAAGTAAGTAAGTAAGTAAGTAAGTAAGTAAGTAAGTAAGTAAGTAAGTAAGTAAGTAAGTAAGTAAGTAAGTAAGTAAGTAAGTAAGTAAGTAAGTAAGTAAGTAAGTAAGTAAGTAAGTAAGTAAGTAAGTAAGTAAGTAAGTAAGTAAGTAAGTAAGTAAGTAAGTAAGTAAGTAAGTAAGTAAGTAAGTAAGTAAGTAAGTAAGTAAGTAAGTAAGTAAGTAAGTAAGTAAGTAAGTAAGTAAGTAAGTAAGTAAGTAAGTAAGTAAGTAAGTAAGTAAGTAAGTAAGTAAGTAAGTAAGTAAGTAAGTAAGTAAGTAAGTAAGTAAGTAAGTAAGTAAGTAAGTAAGTAAGTAAGTAAGTAAGTAAGTAAGTAAGTAAGTAAGTAAGTAAGTAAGTAAGTAAGTAAGTAAGTAAGTAAGTAAGTAAGTAAGTAAGTAAGTAAGTAAGTAAGTAAGTAAGTAAGCAAGTAAGTACCTCACCCTATGATGTTTTCGAATTTCATATATGACTTAACACTTGATTAGGCTCTGTTCACATTAATACACATTAGTTGATATAAACTTAACACAGACCACTAACTCCATTAATCTACTTGGATAGTACCATTACGACAGATGAAAAATATTATTCATACGCTAGTTGATATGCATTAAATTAATGAATAACGCCTATCTTCTACATAATGTTTTACTTGACATATGTAAAGAAGTACAGTAATAGTATCAAGGTAATCAAATCAAAACTTGTTATATATATATATTTTATATAAGATTTATAACATTTCATGAGGTATAGATTTTGTTAGATGAATAAACAAGAGTAGAGTTAGTTTCTAGTGTTTGTGAAGCTACAATTATTTTACTAATCTTTATGTTTCTCGAAAATTTTGATCTATCTATAAAATACATTGTATTTACTGTAATTACATATTTCAGATAGTGTTTAGACACATAAATATTCTTACGAAGAGGCACCGAATACATATGTGCCACTTGATTTATGTATGGGCTGTGATACTACCCTGGTGAAAAAACTGAAACAGTTGGTTTACTTAGAGGGTCACACCTGGAATCTTCGACTTAAATGTCTGATCCACAAGGTAGTGGAGCAACGTCAGAAAATTTACACCCATGGTAGCCGGTGACCAACAATTGGTTTATATGCCATTTGTCCCCTTAGAATCCTGAAGCCCATGTGTACCAATGGTTCGCAATTGTGGTTTTCCAACTCCCCTAGGTTAAAGCGCCGGACATTCGCTTTTCGTCATCTCAATTAGGCAAACAACACCAGTGTCGCGAGAAGTCAGTGAGTAGGACTTCCCTTACAGTGGATGTATACGCGTGGCCATGTGAGAGCATTTTGAAGTAAAGCTGGATTTTCTCACACACCGGTAGCAGCATTTGCTTCGAGATTGCAGATTTACCCTATGGACAAGTGACAACTACATCGAAATATAAGTCCACGGTTAGCAACCGACTTCCTCCATCTATGCAGTTATTGCACAGTAGCAAATGGATAACGCGATGACATATAATAGTATCATCATGTATATCAACGTCTTACCTGATCCATGAAAACCATTTCTGGTATCTGTCAATCCAAAACGACCACGTAAACTATTTGGTTCAAATACAACTGTCCTAAACAATGATAAAATAAAAACTAAAGACATGTAAAATCGATTACAGTTGCAATCATAAAAACATATATGTTTGTCATTATTTTGAAATAACGACAAAAATCGGGAGAAAAAATTGCCGAAACATTGATGACCCTTGGTGGTCCTACTGAAAAATTTGATCTTAAATCTAGTCAGTTCATTGAGTGAGGTAGAAACCAAATTTGTTGGACCAAGTGCAGTACACATTGGTTGATATCTACCAGCAATACAAAAAATAATAAATATGCTATGAAATTCCCACTTACCAAACAGTATCAAGATGCTTTACATATGCTTAGAAAAGATTACACTCTAATCATAAGCAACCCGAACAAAGGAGGAAGGGTAGTTTTAATGAATAAAGCTGATAACATTAATAAAATATACTCAACTAAATTTAAATAACTCAACGATGTTAAGGATATAAATATGGAAGCAGAGAAACTACCGACTAATTCACTTAAGTCATTAGAAAAATAATGGAATACTTACTCCGAACATTCACGATTCACTTTAACTAAATATACCAAACACACCGCAACTCTACAGTTTACATGAAGCCCACAAGACAGTAATTCCTATTCATCCAGTTTTGGATATGTATAATTCGCCATACCATAAAAATTGAAAAGTGGTGAGTTTGAATCCTAAGTCAATTAAACAAACTAGTCGTCAACAGAGTAGTTAAAAACGTTCTCTATTTCATTTCCAAGATGGGACATTCAAACTTAAGTGGAAAACAAATGATATCTATAGATGTTGCTTCCTTGTTCATCAATGTACCATTAACTGAGACGATTAACTTTGTGTGTCAACAACAACAACAACTTGAAAAAACAGAATTTCCGAGGTTAGTCTCGAAGAATTACTTCTGAAATGTACAATGAACGTCCATTTTGTCTTTAATAACATATTTTAGACAAATTGTTGGAATAATGATGGATTCACCTTTAGGTCATATTCTTGCTGATTTATCTCTTGCGAAACTAGAAAACGGACCTCTCAAGGAAGTTATAGACAAGTTGGACTTCTATTGTCATTATATTGATGATACTTTCATTATCGTCGACTAGAAGATTGGAAAAGAAGAACTCTTAAAACTATTTAACAATAAACATTCAGCAATCAAATTTACATGTGAAGAGGAACTTGATAATCAACTACATTTCCTTGACGTTTTGTTAAACATAAAAGAAAGTGGTTCTATCAGGTAAAGTGTGTATAGGAAAAGTTCTTCAGCAAGCCAATGCACACATTTCTTTAGCTCTGTACCCATTCATTATAAGAGAAACCTAATTAGATGTCTCGTAAATAAAACTAGGAAGGCATACTCAGTTGATACTATAAACAAGGAACTAGAGCTTATTCATAATATGTTGATTGAAATAGGTTATCCACAAGGTTTCCTGGAGAAACACACCTGCATATAACAAACAAGAAAGTGGAGACGTCAACGGCTAGTAAGAAACCTCTCTTTCTGAAGCTGCAATTCAATGGAGATATAGCAGGTGATGTATTACGAGATAGACTGACTTGAGCAGTCAAAAGGAAGTTTAATGCAACTAACCTCTATCTATCGTATTTGACCCGATCTATAGGGATCCCTCAAAGAAAGGACAAGTTACTTGGTCCTGCCACAACCATATATATCTACGAATTCAGCGTCTCTTATGGAGAAAGCCATATTGGAAGCACTACCAGACAATAGAGCTAATGAGTTAGTGAGTACCTCTATTCTTGGCTAGAAAATGGTACCTTCAAAACAATACATAGCTCTGTTCTATCAAATATGGTCGATAGCGGTCATGTAATAGATAGAAATAAATGATTTAAAGTTATTTATCCTATTACTACTAGTTTCCATTATGAGGTTCAATCTCATCTCTTACACATAGCAGAAGCTAAAGAAATTCAAGCTTTATTACATAATTTCATAGATTTTATAAATGTTATTTCAATATCTACATGTTTCAAGTCATTGGGTTTATTAAATTCAATTGGTGTATCTTCCTATTATTATTTAGGACTGCAATTAATCAGTCTCATGTTGGCATATGTGCATCTTGTGCGGATTGCCTTGATATATGCCAATATGAGACGGATCAATTGCATTCCTAAATAACAATCGAAAGATACATGTAAAACAACATCAAGTGAATTTAAATTTTCTTACATTACACAAACAGGTGATTATCAGCAATCAGTAGGTAAGTGGATAACGCGATGGCGTTTAAAGCGAACGGTATCAGGTTCAAGTCCCAGAGTAGACATCAACTCAGGGATGCGGGTACATCAAGGTGACGAGTCCCAAATAGGACGAAACACACGTTCTGGTTTCTATTGCTAGTCACTACCCGTCATTGGTTTATTTTCTATTACGAAACACGGATTCAAGTTTTTGTTATTCTTATCACAACTACTACCCTCAATATCCTACTATCGATTTGTACTTTTTACTTATTGTATTTATCTATGTAATCCATTCCATTATTAAATCCGCCTGTAGCTCTTCTAGAGTTACTGCCAATTCCAAGCCCGTGTAAAGGAGAAGGGTTAGGCATGGGGTTAGAAACCCCATCCCGTAGAAAACTGACTCGCTAGAAAAACGCTAACTAAAGTTCCACTTTTATTATCATTGAATCATAAACTGCCTTGATTAATTTAATAATTTCGTACATGTACTGATTGAAATAAACACTAACTAAGATAATGGCACAAATAATTTACACATTTTATGATGAAATTAAGGAGTTAATGGGTTTTTTTAATTTCAGGATCGTGGATGCACACTGCTGAAGAGTCCCACAATAGGATGAAACGGTCGTTTAGTGCTTCGAGTTTTTCCATGGTAGTCTAACTTTAATAGACTCATAATCTCAATGATTGAAATTACTATAATATCCACAAAAATCCCTTCTGATATTAGATACTAACTGATTTCCATTAGAAGAAGGTGAACATAGGTTTTGAATTAGAATAACAAGATGTCTAGGCTAAACGATTACGTAATAGTAATAATGAACTTTGTGTTCTTCTAGTTCTTAGTGTCAAATGAACTTAATTGATCCAATTGAAATATATTTTCCAAGTTTGTTTGATATTTGGTAATTGAAGGTATTCAGAAAAGAACTAGTATCCTATGAAAACACTAGCTTGTAGATGAATTACTAGATACTGAAGAACCTGAATTTGAAACTTACTACAAATCGGTTTAAACAAGAGACAATATATTAGTTGGTTGTTTATTTACGAAATATGATAATTATCATTAAACATATTCATTAAAAAAAAGATAGTTAATAGATCTATAAATTAAACAGGTTATACAACTGTCTTGTCATGATCGAATCTCTATATTCTGATGAAGTTTTGTTCTCTGAGCTGGATGGTTTGGTCGTGGAGCTTTCATCGTTCTTCTGAACGACATCATCAGCACAAACTTCAGATAGAAGTGAAGTGTTCGAATTTTTCCATATGCGTTTCACAGCTTGTTCTGTGCACCTCGATGTTGATTGGTTCTTATTGACCTTAAATTTGTCATTGTTTACCTTTTTGTCTTGGTTTTGTCTGAAGTTTGTGCTGATGATGTCGTTCAGAAGAACGATGAAAGCTCCACGACCAAACCATCTAGCTCAGAGAACAAAACTCCATCAAAATCATCCACCTGAGCTACAAATCTTCTCCACCATTACAATCTCTATATTCATATTCGTTTATTATAGCTTACATTATGAATTGAACTTAGATAACCAATGAAAACCAATGAGCATTGGATTACGGTCTTGAACCAAGATCTTAATATTTAACCTATTGAAGTGCTGTACAATGGTTTACATTTCCAACTTGAATTTTCAATAGAATGTAATCACTTTCCAATGCTATTGGTAAATAACTGGCTTATATCCGATACATTTCAACTTCCCTAGTCATGGCTTCTAATTAGACTTTCGAAACTAATGTCTTACAGATGGTGGAATTAGATATTGTGAATTAATGGAATGGTAGCTAAGTGATTAAATCTGTCTACTCTTAATGATCAAGTCGAACAATATGACATTCCCTCATCTATACCAGTTGGACCAGCCTTAACATTTAAAAAGGGGTGGCTGAAAACCGATCAAGTGGGAAAAAAAAACACATTTACAGCTTAATAGTTAAATCCATGAGTCAATTGAAGCTAGACCATCATGGAAAACCTGGAAGTACTATTAAAATACTATAATATTAACAAAACCCCTTTCTGATTATAAACATCTAAAATAGCGAAACAATGTAATAAGCTAAGAAGTACAACCGTAAAATCTTTATACGGATATATATCAATAATCAATCATTCTATTTAATAAAAGTATCAATCATATTTAAAAACACCAAATTTACCGATAAACTTTAGTGGGACCAAGCAATGAACGCCAAACAGATATTGCATCATTACCAGCAAGAATATACACTCCAAGTGGTCCGCTATAATAAAAGTATAACAGAAGTGTAAATGTAGTCAGTCCAATGGTTGGTTATCGGTTTTACAAAACTTTACAACAATCAATTTACTCGGTAACTACTGAACTAAACGAGAAAAAAATAATTCAATAATGAATTTATCAGTTTGGAGACGAATATTTATGAATGATGAAAAGTCATGATTAGTGAAAGCCCTGACATGGTCTTTAAGAGTAGAAGATACTCGTAAGCTACAAGTATTTGATCATAGATGCCTTAGAAATATTGCTGGTATCTCCTGAGATCACAGGGTAAGTAATAGTGAGGTTAGACGCACGGTTTCAGAGAATGATGGTAAATCACTTGGTGAGGATGTGAATCTTCATCGATTAAGATGGTTGGGTCACGTGTTGCGTATGCCTGAACACCAATTACAAAAACGCGCAATGCTGACCGGTGTTAGAGATAATTGGAAGAAAGTTAGGGGCTGCCAAATCGAAACGTGGCACCAGTGCTTGAAGACACTAACTTCTGGTCTGAGCCATGTTGGTAGATGCAGACTAATTGGTTGCGATCTGCGTGACTATCGTAACCAATGGTTGGAGACTGTGTGTGACATGGCTCATAATCGATCACAGTGGCGCCGGTGTATACACCCTCTGTCTTCCTTTAAACTAAGAGATTAAAATCGCTTCATATATTTCTTTCTACGAACTAATTCTTTCTCCCTGTACTATCTCCTTATACACAAACTTTCTTTTATACATTACCACCATTGAATTAACTACTTCTATGAATCCAGTGTTCATGTTGCTGTGCTAATGCGGTATGCCAATTTGAACTGATGAATAGATGTGGCTAATCCTGACTGACTAATAAATCGAAGCATGATATAGAGAATCTTCTATCTCAATGTTTAATAACATGAAACCTTGATATATTTGCAAACTACCTCTTAATTATATAACCTTATGCGGTATGGCAACCTGAACCGATGCATATATGTGCATGTTCCTATCTTGTAGCTGACTGACTGACTGACATAATGTGTAGTATTCTGAATGGCTAGTGCAACAATACAAACATTGTTAGGAATGTATTTCTTCTTTTTTTCTCTCTAAGTGTAAAATGTTACCTATGCCAATCCCGAACAAATGTTGAACATAACGCGCAACAGTCAGCTCAGTTTTACTCTATAGTTGTCAAACGTGACCCATGAGAGTAGAAGGCATATATATTGGTTAAAAGGTTTTGACCACAGGTATCTACAATGCATTCCTAGAGTGTCGTGAAACTAAATAGTGTTTCGTTCAGGTTAGACAAAGATGAAAAATCAAATGATATAGTTGTGAACGTTTATCGAATGTGATTGCGAGGTGTATTACATAACGATAAACTGGAATAAACTGAAAAAAAAAACAACTACGGATAACAAAATCAAAACATGGTGGTGTCAGTCCATTAATTCATTGATTCCTAGACGGAACCATATCGTAAGATTTATACTATGTCATAATGGTTCACACGGTAAGCGAAAACAACGGTTGCATATATCTGGTAACAGATTGAAAATGGTTACAGTAGTGAAGATATATTCATATGTAATTTTCCTCTACGTATTAAGCTTTATTAGTATTTTGTAAAATGTTTTTCGATCGAATCTATCACGTTTTTTAAAATCATATTTCACCATATTTAATCTTTCTAACTATAATTGACTATGCCAGTATTTCATCTCACTTGTTACTCATTTCGTCATCCTAATGTGGTAAAGGCAACATGAGCTAATACATATTTGTCTCAAACTATCAATTGATCATGAATAATCGAATGTCCCTCAAATGCCCTGGTACGGCCGAGGGTGGGGAAAGTCCGTTCTCATTCTCCATATGCTCTCATGTAGCCATATGTACACAGCTACTTTCAGGGAAGTCCTACTCACTGACTTCTTACGACACCGGTGTTGTTTACGAAAATGAGAGGACGAAAAGCGGATGTCCCGCGCTTTAATCTGGTTGGTGGATACGGATGATCCATCTAAGGCAATTGGAAAACCACAATTCCAAACCAATTGTGCACATGAGCTTCAGGATCCTAAGTTGACAAATAGCGTATGTACCATGGGAGTGCATTTCGTGACATTGGTCCACTGTCTTGTGGATCACACATTTAGGTCGAAGACTCCAGATGTGGGCCCCTAAGAAGACCATCTGCTTTGCTTTTGACACCCAGGCAGTATCACAGCCCACATACTAATGAAGTGATTTGAGTGGCGCATCTGTATTCAGTGACCCTTTGTACCAATATTTAAGTGTTCAAATAAAGAAATAATAAAGATTAATTGAATGATCGACAATTTACAGTAAAGTTGTTTAGTATTCAACAAAGTAAGATAAAAAATAATTGAATAATTGAGAAATAGATAAAAATTTTGAGAAAATCAACTATTTGATACATGTAATTACTATTTTCAATTAAATTGAAAATTTCAATGATTAAGATCATGAGCCAGTTGGAGCTAGACCACCATGGAAAACCTGGAAGCACTGGACGGCTGTTTTGAGGTCGTGGATGCGCACTGCTGAGGAGTCCCATAATAGGACGAAACAGCCTTCCAGTACTTTTCAGGTTTTTCATGAGGATTTAACTTTAATTGATTTATGAATTCAACTATTAAATAAATAAATAAATAAATAATAATAATACTGAACTTACCAGATCATATGATTAACAAGTCGATCATAGAAAAATTTACCTAAAGTGAAAATTTTATTGGCAACTATTAAGTTTCAATAGAATGATATTTAAATAATACAAGATAAAAAGAGAACAACATAAGTTTAGTGATATTTAAGTCATAATAAATCTTACAATGAGAGAGGATGAATGTGTTAGAACGACCGATGGATGAACACGAAGAAGCTCAGAAAGAGTTGAAGATATTCCATTCAATCATCATTTAGAAGAATATTCTACAATCTCTAAGTGTAGCTTCCCTATAGGACAAATGCTAAAAAACTACTGAATACGTATTGGATGATTATAACGATGATTTCATTTTTACTGAAATCTATAAATACTTAAGAGTTTTGTATCATACTTGAAACTGTTTGGAATAACATTCCTTCTCAGTCGTTTTCTGAGACGTGGAGGATTCTACCGTTCGAGTGCTCAAATTATATTCGGTATATCAAGAACCTAAGCTGTAGATATAACCGAATACATTTGTAAAATCTCAGTAAATGAATTTGAAGTGAATTCAATGTTTCGTTTGGTAATCTCGTTCAAGGAAATAAGATCAAACATCAAACATCAAATGTCCAATGTTTGATCATATTTTTTTCAACCAGATTGTCAAGTGAAATGTTAGGTTCAATTTAAGTTCATTCGCTGAGATTTTACAAATACATTCTTTCCTTCTTAATGTCTCACATATCAACTTGGTGTTCAATCAAATTTAGACGAAGGTTCTTATAAATTGTATGATTAGTATTTTTTTTTATCTCTGAGAATCATGAATTGATTGATGTTTAGCGACCATTGAAAACCTATTCTATTGTGAGACTCCTTGACAGTGCACATCCACGATCCTTCCATCGTGATTCGAACCCATGGCCTTCAGTCTTGCGCGTGAACGCTCAACCTCTGATCACCGAGCCCCAAATGCCCTGGTATGGCTGAGAGTGGGGAGAGTCCGCTCTCACTCTCGAAATGCTCTCACATGGCCACGTGTATATAGCCTCTGACAGGGAAGTCCTACTCACTGCCTTCTCGTAGCACCAGTGTTGTTTACAAAAATGAGAGGACGAAAAGCGAATGTCCAGCGCTTTAACCGGACTCCAAACCAATGGTGCACATGGGCTCCAGTATCCTGCGGGAACAAATGGCGTATGAACCAATCGTTGGTCATCGGCTACCATGGGACTACATCTCCTTACGATGCTCCACTGCCTTGTGGATCAGACGTTCAGGTCAAAGGCTCGGGGTGTGGCCCCCTAAGAAAACCACCCGCTTCTGTCTGCGCACCCGAGCAGTATCACAGCCCTCACACATATCAATTGAGATTCGTGTGGCGCATATGTATCTGGTGCTTCCTTGTACCAATACCTATGTGTTAAAATAAAAATAAATAAAATTTCTCTGAGAATCGTTAATTATTCGATATTATGGGTAGATATCAATTGACCAAATTATATCACTGTATAACATTCATCTACCAAAGACAATAAAAAGATGATTGCACAATGTGAGGACTAACAATACTACTAATGAGTAGAGCAAAACAAAATTAGTTAGGAGCGAGATTTAAATCGATGACTGTGATATTTAAAATGAGTTTGTCAGTAAACCATCACACTATCCATATAGTTTATTAATTCTAGGTGGAAATGATGTTGAAGACATTAAAATAAATGAAATTATATTATTATTAATAATGATAATAAATGCTTCTACTTACCCTTGTGTTCAGCGTAAAATACTTCAGCACGATCACGAGTCATAAAAACCTCTTCATTATGAATAATTTGTAATTGTGCATCGAACATCACAGATTCAACATACTAATGTTTGATTAAATTATATAAAAATTTTTTTAAAACTATAGATTTAATTAGTTTTATGAAATGATTAATTAAGAAATAATTAACTTGACAATGATACTAATCAGTAAGCTGATAGGCATAAGATTCTATACTCTGTCACGTGATACCGTCCCTAAATGCTCCGGTACGCCCGGGAGAGTGGAGATTCCGCTCACCCTCTCGAAATGCTCTTACATGGTCACGCATATACAGCCATTGTCAAGGAAGTCATATTCATTGACTTCTCGGGACACAGAAGTTGTTTATGAAATTGAGAGAATGAAAAGCGAATGTTCGGTGCTTTAAGCGGTTCGGTGGATTTGGAAGTTCCACCTAGGGGAGTTGAAAAACCCTGATTACAAACCAATGGTTAACATCGGTTTCAGAATCCTAAGCAAACAAATGGCGTATGAACCAATCGTTGGTCACCGGCTACCATGGGAGTGCATCTCTTTACGTTCCTCCACTACCATGTGGATCAGACTTCTAGGTGAAATGCTCGGGGTGTAACCCCTAAGAAAACCACATGATTCGGTCTGAGCGCCCAGGCAGTATCACAGCCCTTACACAAATCAAATGTAGTGTTTATCTATTCGGTGCCTATTTGTACCAATGTTAATGTGTTTAAATAATAATAAACATGGGATACCACGAAATTTCAACAACCTTCTCTCATACTTTAACTTTATTGAATATGTTCAAAGCTACAAATCATTTTCATTGGTAACAATCCATTAACTGATTTGTAAAATTAGATCGATAAAAAAAGTCATATAAAACTACAATATACTACAAGGTTTTAGTTGTTGTCATATCCAACTGTAATTCAAGACGTTAAACAGGAATTTCATCCATCCTACCTATCCCACTTAAAGTTCTTCAAAGTTTATTGGTTATTTTATTCAAATAAAATAATCATTAATATTTCTAAACTATTACTGAAGAATATATAAAGTTATATAATTAAGAGGTAGTTTGCAAATATATCAAGGTTTCATGTTATTAAACATTGAGATAGAAGATTCTCTATATCATGCTTCAATTTATCAGTCAGTCAGGATTAGGCACATCTATTCATCAGTCCAAATTGGCATACCGCATTAGCACAGCAACATGAACACCGGATTCATAGAAGTAGTTAATTCAATGGTGGTAATGTATAAAAGAAAGATTGTGTATAAGGAGATAGTACAGGAAGAAAGAATTAGTTCGTAGAAAGAAATATATGAAGCGATTTTAATCTCTTAGTTTAAAGGAAGACAGAGAGTGTATACACCGGCGCCACTGTGATCGATTATGAGCCATGTCACACACAGTCTCCAACCATTGGTTACGATAGTCACGCAGATCGCAACCAATTAGTCTGCATCTACCAACATGGCTCAGACCAGAAGTTAGTGTCTTCAAGCACTGGTGCCACGTTTCGATTTGGCAGCCCCTAACATTCTTCCAATCATCCCCAAAACCGTTGGGGATTCACATTGTTACATAGACTGAAATCTCTAAGTGGACAGTTCATTCTTACTATTGGACTAATGAAACTAATCTGTTTAATGATTTGAACACATAAATATTGGTACAAAGGGTCACTGTATACATATGCACCAAACAAGTCATCTGATTTTTATGTGAGCCATGATACTCTCCGAGTACCAAAACCGAAGCAGCTGGTTTTCTTAGGAGACCACACCCAGAACCTTCAACCTAAAGGTCTGACCCACAAGGCAGTGGGGCAACGTCAGAAGATACAGTCCTATGGTAGCCGGTGACTAACGATTGGTTTATACGCCATTTGTTCCCTTAGGATCCGGGAGCCCATATTTACAATTGGTTTGGAATTATGGTTTTCCAACTTCCTTAGGTGGATTCTCCATATCCATTTAAGTATACACCTATCGCCATTGTATCATTAGGGTGGCCTAAGTGTACACAAATAGATGCATTAATTCTAGATAGTAATTTCTTATCATCAAACAATAAATATTGTTTTCCGATTTTACTACATCTCAGTAAAGGACGAATAAGTAGGGATGAACTGTTTTTCAATTCCTACAGTTGGATCCAATTCTATCTCTAGCAACGTAACTATGATGTAATGACAGAATACAGAATTTTAATAGTTGAATTCATGAGTCGATGTAAGTTAGATCACCATAGAGAACCTAGAATTATTGAATTGCCGTTTTGTCCTAGTATGACACTCTTCAACAGTGTACGTCTACGATCTGTCACGTAAGACCAACTATTAAAATTACTACAATCTTTCACAAAAAAACCCCATTCTAATCAAAATAGAGAATTCTTATATGATCAACATATAAGTAACATAAATCCAGTTAAATATGTGTATATTCATATGAAAAGACAATTACAATTTCTATAAATAAGGATATAAATGTTGTTTAAATGATGGATTAACATTCAGAATGAAATAAATACAATTCCGTCTGTAACTCTTCTAGAATGATTTTTATTTATTTATTTTATTTTAACACATAGGTATTGGTACAAGGAGGCACCAAATATATATGCAGCACACAAATCTTCATTTGATTTGTGTATGGGCTATGATACTGCTCGGGTGCGCAGACAGAAGCAGGTGGTTTCCTTAGGGAGCCACACCCCGAGCCTTTGTCCTAAAGGTCTAACCCACAAGGCAGTTGGTAATCGTGAGGAGATGCAGTTCCATGGTAGCCGGTGACCAACGATTGATTCATACGCCATTTGTCCTCTCAGGAAACTGGAGCCGATATGCACCATTGGTTTGCGATCCGGTTAAAGCGCCGGACACTCACTTTTCGTCCTCTCATTTTCGTAAACAACACTGGTGTTACGAGAAGGCAGTCAGTAGGACTTCCCTGGCAGAGGCTGTATACGCGTGAGAGAATTTCGAGAGGGAGGGCGGGTCCACCACACTCTCGCCCATACCAGGGCATTTGGGTGCTTCTAGCGTGACTGCCTATCTCAAGCCTGTATCATGTAAGAAGGTTAAGGGTATGAGATCGGCAACTCCATTCCGTAAAAAAGCAACCTTACTCAAAAACAAATAAAAATTGATAAATGAACTTACTTTACGATAATTGATAAAACGTTGAACATCCGGTTTCAATATTGCTAATGTTAATTGTTTCATTGACATATTGAACACTATTATCTAAAGATTTTTTTTAAAGAAAAAAGAAATAACCCGCAAAGTATAATTATTACCATCATCATCATCGTCATTCTAATTGAACAATAGTATTGAAATAAATCTGAGAAATGAATTGATACATTGAAATATGACATGATTACTTGAAAAGAACTCAGTAAAATTATATTGTGAAGATAATATAATGAGAAAAAAGTGTAAATTATTAGTTGAGATGATGAGTCCATTGAAGCTAGATCATCATGGAAAAACTCGAAGCACTGCGAATCCTCAACAATGCGCATCCACGACCTTGCCCCCTGCGACATTCGAACCCAGGATATATTAGTCTCGCGTGTGAGCACTTAACTACTAGACGACTTAGCCAGCATCCAATAGTGTTATTGTCTAACTTTAACTAATCCACAGTGGTCTAGAGTGCTGTTAGAGGTATGAGGGCGGTTATCACTTCCCGGTTGCCAACACCGTGAAAGGGTTCTTCTGGAGGTACCTGAAAAGGAAATTGCATAAGAGGTGGTCACAGTGACCTGAGAGCGTGACCGCAGTGCCCAAGAGACAGTTGCTGTCTGGCATGGTAGGACCTTGAGGAACGGTTGTTCCAGCCAGTGTAGCTCAGTTGCTTCATCACGATAGGCAAGCCTGACCACCACGTCAAGGTAGCAACAACGGTCCACGAAATTAAGTGACACATCTACCATTGTTATCGCTGAGTTACTATCTCATAATAGACCTGGTTGAACTCCACTGGTCACTGCTTCTCACTTGAACTCCAGGATATACCTCTTGTAGCCAGTCACTAGTGAGCATATGATGATTATAATCATATAGGGGTTTTTATGGATATTATAGTAATTTCAATAGTCGAGATCATGAGTTAATGATTATTAGCTTTATTCAATATTATATTTTTAGTACAATAAAGAATTCTCAGCACAAAGTATTTCAACAAATTTTCTTTTCTTATAACTTGATCTATCCTTGCGATTAATATTGAGTAGTCACCAGTTAGACGTTAGCAGTTCAGGAATAGACATCTGGGCGAGACTATAATTTATGGACGAACCAATCAGATATAAGATAACGAGTCACGAATTTGGGCGCAGAATTCATTCATACATTTGGCTAAATAGAATTTTGGCATTATAGCCAATGTCAGTTCGTGATGAAAAACCTAAATCTAATTTTCAACCCTAACCATCAATTGTAAATGAGAATTCTAACTGCTTTATAACCCTCATTTAGTCCTAATTTGTAGGTGTCCACATTCAAAGTTCACTTCGGCGTCGTTCAAAGGTCGTCCATAAATTATAGTCTCACCGACATCTGATTAATTTATATTCCTTTCGATGTATATCGCCAGCAACCACAATATCTGTGATTGGACTCTTTTGTAAATTCTATAGTGAACGATTGTGAACTTTTCATAAACGCATTTGAATAGGTTATCCAATTAATTGATATAATGTTTTGTTGAAACAAACAACCCAACTGCTTCACAAGACAAGTCCTCATATGGAATCCTCAAGGTCAAAGGAAAAGACGAAGACCAAAGAACACACTACGCTGGGAAATGGAGACAGACGTGAGAAAAATGAACAATAATTGGATGGAACTAGAAAAGAAGGCCCAGGACAGAGTGGGTTGAAGAATACTGGTCGGCGGCCTATGCTCTATTGGGAGTAACAAACAAGAAAACAGATCATTTGTTGAAATATCTACATAGCAGGAACAGGTAGACCAAATATTTAAGCAGGTCAACGAGTTGATTGATAGAATATCTATTGTCAATCGATCACTCCGTATATTCAAGATTCCAACAGCTGATCAATTACCAAGGAAAGTAACCCAAAATCCAAACAGATTTCTATACTGATAATATTGACTAGAAAGACGATAAAAGCCCGTGAATAAATTACCAAGATTAAACAAACTAGCTCCATCAAAATCTTCCTCATGAGGTATAAATCTTACACTAACACTACTATTATTATTATTTATTAATATTATTTTAACACATCGGTATTTGTACAAGGAGGCACCAAATGTATATGCGCCACACAAATCTCATTTGATATGTGTGAGGGCTGTGATACTGCTCGGGTGACCAAACCGAAATAGGTGGTTTTCTTAGGGGGCCACACCCCGAGCCTTCGACCTAAAGGTCTGATCCACAAGGCAGTGGAGCATCGTAAGGAGATGTAGTCCCATGGTAGCCAGGGACCAACGATTGGTTCATACGCCATTTGTTCCTTCAGAATACTGGAGCCCATGTGCACCACAGATTTGGGATCCAGTTACAGCGCCAGACATTCGCTTTTCGTCCTCTCGAGTTCGTGAACAACACCAACACGAGAACGCAGTGAGGACTTCCCTGGCATAGGCTGTATACGCGTGGCCATGTGAGAACATTTCGAGAGGGAGAGCGGACTCTACCCACACTCGGCCGTACCAGGGCATTTGGGGGGCTTACATTAACACTATGTTAATATGTATTCACACCAACTTCACAATCATATTCAACCGTTTTGTAAGAAGTAGTTGATTAAAACTTATAAAATTTAAATGTATTATCAGATTAGCTTGAATAAATCCTTATTCCTCTTCGTTTCAAATGAATAAACAAAACGATTTAGGTACAAACAACCAAAAAGCACTAAGCAGTTGTTTATATATAGGAAATAACTTTCTAACAATTTCAACGGCTTGCTTTAAAATGAATCTATATAGTTCTAATTAGGAACACATTTCAGAATATAGACAGTTACTAATGGATAGGATAAAGTGATTATCGAGTCAAATCATAAATTAACTAAATTTCTAGATGAGATTGAAGGTAATATACCTGCTGTAACACTTAAAGAATACCTGTGTTGATTCCTGATGATTTCATCATAGATATATTCTACAGAGACGCTTATTTCAAATATATTAAGATGAAACAACTGTCCATTGATTTCTGAACACTATCAATACTTCTTCAATTGTTATTAGTATATAATACAAACAATCGATGTAAGTAGAAATGATTCGAAATTATTATCGATCAACAGACACAAAGGAACTTCATTTACCTTTCATTCTCAATGACTTACATTTCAAGAACGAATAAAAAAGAAAAAAACAACAAATGATCACATTAAATGATTTATTAAAGATAACTTCTTACATGTTGTCATTCAATTAAACAATCAATCAATCTAATTATCAATGAAATAAAAAAAACAACACTACCAACACCCCCGAGTACAACTAAGGGTGGGGTGGAGGAGTTACTTCTCCCTCTCGATATGCTCTTACATGGACACGTGTATACAGACATTGTCAGGGAAGGCCTACTCACTGACTTCTCACGACACCGGTGTTGTTAACCAAATTTATACGATGTAAGGGCATGTCCGCCCCTTTAACCCGGTTAGTGGACACGGAGAGTCCACCTAGGGGGGTTGGAAAATCACAATTCTAAACAAATGGTGCACATGGGCTTCGGGTTCTTAAGGAAAGAAATGGTGTATGAACCAATTGTTGGTTACCGGCTACCATGAGACTGAATCTCCTTACATTGCTCTACTGTCTTGTGGATTAAACTATTAAGTCAAAGGCTCGGGGAGTGGCCGCCTAAGAAAACCAGCTGCTTCGGTTCGAACACCCGGACAGTATCATAGGCAACGTACAAATCAAGTGACTTGTGAGGTGTATATGTATTCAGTGACCCTTTGTACCAATATTTATATGTTCAACCAAATAAAGAATACTAACTACTACAATGTATGTGTATACCACATATATAAAGATATTTTTGAAGCAAAAGCAAATAACAAGTAAATGTCTATTGGAATAAAATGATTATAATTGAAACAAACCGTCTATGATGGAAGTATTACAGTTTTTTACATACTAGAAAATAACAGCCCATTATATAAGACTGAATTACCGAAAACCAAATTAACGTAGGTTTATTTAATTTTCTTTTATTTGAACACATAGATATTGGTGCAAGGAGGCACCAAATATATATATATATATATATATATATATATATATATACGCCACACGAATCTCATTTGATAAGTGTGAGGGCTGTAATACTGCTCGGGTGCCCAAACAGAAATAGGTGGTTTTCTTAGGGGGCCACACTCCGAGCCTTCGACCTGGACGGCTGACCCACAAGGCAGTGGAGCATCGTGAGGAGATGCAGTCCCATGGTAGCCGGTGACCAACGATTGGTTCATACGCCATTTGTTCCTTCAGGATACTGGAGCCGATGTGCACCATTGGTTTGGAATTGTAGTTTTCGAACTCCCCTATGTGGATCTTCCATGTCCACCAACCCAGTTAAATCGCAGGACGTTCGCTTCTCGTCCTCTCAATTTCGTGAACAACACCCCCGCCACGAGAAGGCAGTGAGGAATATCCTGGCAGAGGCTATATACGCGTGGCCGTGTGAGAGCATTTGGAGAGGGAGAACGAACTCTCCCCACTCTCGGCCGTACCAGGGCATTTGGGAGCATTAGGAGGACTGTAATTTCAATTATCGAGTGTTTTCTTCGAATGCTTATTATTACATTCCATGTGATATTTAAAGTGATCGCTTTCAACACTGTGATTATTGAAGATTTTTGTATTCAATCAATCATAGTCAACGTAAGATCTGAAATGAATGTGTATTAGTTGAAATTGGTACAGAAAATACAGGATTTAGCAAAATAAGAATCAAGAAAAAGGAATTAATTTTAACACCAGAAATTTAAACATAAGAAATACATATTTCAGCAAGACTACTTAATAATTAAACAATGGAATATAAGACGACGGTTTTGTTCTATTTAGAACTTGTCAATTGAATGTACTTGTACCCTAATGCTGATACTCAGTTAGGGTCTCAAACTCAATGCCTTCCAATTCACATAATCAATAGGTTATCCACACAGTTATTGACTTGTGAAACAAGAATGAATCCTATTTGAATTTTAAGTGTTTGTATATTCCCGTTTTTAAGGACTAAAATTGATTAGTCTCTTTTAGTGTATGTGCATGTTAAATGGATCACCTCAATGATGACAACCTTTGATCACCAGAACATGATGATATGGTTGTTGTTGTTGGTGGTGGTGGTGGTGTTAATGATGATGATGATGATGATGATGTTGTTGTTGTTGTTGTTGTTGATGATGATGATGATGATGATGACGGACACTGGTTCGATGACAGAATTTCATCTAAGATTGGAATAGTTGAGTTTTCTGATAAATTCGGCAATAAAGATGTATACTGAAAATGAAAAGATTTTATAAAAATAAAATTACCAAACGATATCAAAACATTTGAATATAAATAAAATTTATTTACAGCTATAAATTAATTATTGTGTAAACGAGTTTTTATAACTACCGTTCTCACTTAATTATCAACATTTTAACTATAGGATGATAAAATTATTGAACCTATTTTCTAAACGGTACAAGCCTCCAAATGCCCTGGTACGGCCGAAAGTGAGGAGAGTCCACTCTCTCTCTCTATATATGCTCTCACATGGCCACGTGCATACAACAACTGCTAGCAAAGTTCTACTCACTGACTTCTCGCGACACCGGTGTCGTATAACCGAATTTACACGACGAAAAGTGAATGTCTGACAATTTAACCGGATGTATGAACCAATCATTGGTTACCGGCTACCATGGGAGTGAATCTCCTTACATTGCTCCACTGCCTTGTGGATTAGACCTTTAAGTCAAAGGATTGGGGTGTGGTCCCCTAAGAAAACCACCTGCTTCGGTTTGGGCACTCCGGCAGTCTCCTAGAACTTACAAAAATCGAATGGCTTATGTGGCGCTTATAATGCTCGTGACTTAAGACAATATCGAGGCAATCTACACAGTATGCACATATGCCAAAAAGAGACTAACCAATTATGATCCTGTATATCAACAGGAAGATTCAAATAACCAATACAAATCAGGTTATTTTAATATGCAAGTAGTATTCCGCACGAACTGCCCCGCCTGGAGCCCCTCTGGGGTTACTGACAGTCCTAATCCCGGATAAAGGGGAAGGGTTGTGCATGGAGTTAGCGACGCCATCCCTTAGAAAACTAACTCGCTAAAAAACACGCCAACCATTTCTCAGGAATCAGTCATATCTGGCGTGCTATTGGAAACTAGAAAGCCCTGAACATATAGAAAACCTAAAATCCTTAATTTGAATCTCTAAGGGTGTAATCAGTGTCCAGTGTTGAATAGTCCAGCATTCAGAAAACACAATCATTTACTTGCTTCTTGATTATCCTCCATGGTATCCCAACCAACTGCCTTATTTTTCATCCCCTCCTGATATTATCATTTAGAGTTATTTGATTTTAATTCTATTAATTCATTTCATAGGGTTGTTTGTGCTTTAAACTGTAAGAAAATTGATTGATAAACATTCGTACTGATTCACATCAGAAGGGATTTTGTGGATACTAATAAGAATTTCAACAGTTGAGATCATGAGTCAATTGAAGCTAAACCATCATGGAAAACCTCGAAGCACTGAATGACCGTTTCATCCTAGTAAGGGACTCCTCAGCAATGTGCATCGACGATCCCACCTGATGAGATTCGAATCGAGGATCTATCAGTTTCGCACTCGAGCGTTTAACCACTAAACCACTATAATGATGACAATAGACAACAATCTTTAATTTAAATATAAACAAATAAACAAACAATGTAATAATAATATAAAACAATTACATAATTACTTGTGATATACGTTGTAAACTATTATCTAATTTTTCATTAGCTAATAATAATCTTTTTAAATTATTCACAGCTTTATGGATGTTTTCAAAAGATTGAGTAGTCGTAGCAGTAGTCGTCGTCGTAGTAGTAGTAATAGGAGGAGGAGTAGTCGTCGTCGTCGTCGTCGTATTAGTAGGAGTATCTTGTTCAATATTTTCATTATTCAATGATTGATCAGATTGTAGTTTCAAGTTCATATAAACTGGTATTAATTGAGATAATTTTTCATGGAATTGTTGAATCTTCTTAGATGATTCTTTCATTTTATCGATCTAATTCGTGTGAAGTAAAAAGAAATGTTTCAATGAAAATAAAGAAAAGAAAAAGAAGAATAATAAAAATGAATAAGTTACATAAATCTAATTGAGTATAGAGGATAATATGTATGTGAATAAATCAGTCAGTCAGCCACAACGTAGAAACAGACACATATGTGCATCGCTCCAAGTTACCATACCGCATTAGCACAACAAGATAAACACCGGATTCATAGAACTAGTTAATTCAGTGGTGGTCATATATAAAAGAAAGATTGCATATAAGGAGATAGTACACAAAAGAAAGAAAGATATAATGCAATTGTAATCTCATAGTTTAAGGGAATACAGAAAATAAATACACGTAAGCCATTATGACCGATTCTGATCCATGTCACCAAAAGTCTCCAACCATTGGTTACGATAGTCACGCGGACCCCAACCATGTAGTCTGCATCTACCAACATGGCTCAGACCAGAAGTTAGTGTCTTCAAGCACTGATGCCACGTTTTGGTTTGGCCGCCCCTAACACTCTTCCAATCATCCCAAACGCTAATGAGCAACAACTTGCATTTAGAGGGAGAAAAGCGCATCCCAAACATTCTAGCATTGTTGCTCAGTGCTACCAAAAGACTCTGCATTTCCTCATCGTCTTCACCAAACAGGAGTATGTCATCTGCGTATTCCAAGTCGATAAGTAGACCTCCTGGAAGGAGATCGACGCCCAAGAATTCAGTCGATGAGAGCGTTATTTCCATCAGGAGGTCTATGATGAAGTTAAACAAAAATGGAGAAAATGAACAGCCTTGACGGACACCACTTGAGGTTGCAAAAACGTATGACAGTTCACCATAAGCTCTGACTCGACTAATAGTGTTCGAGTAAAGAGCCTTCACAAGGTTTATGTACTACTGAGGTACGCCTTTCAATGATAGACACCGCCACAGAATCTGGCAGTCTACGGAGTCAAATGCTGATTTTAAGTCAAGAAAGGCCACCATTGTCGGACGCCGATAAGTATGCCTGTGTTCTAGAACCTGACGAATGGTGAATATGTGGTCTATGCATCCACAACCAGGTCTGAAGCCAGCCTCGTTTTCTGGTGTTTTCAGTTCAAGTCTTAATTAGGCGTCCGATAATTATCGAGGCTAGTATTTTAGATACTATAATAGTTAAACTAATCCCTCTGTGGTAAATAAATAAATTGTAATTAATGAAATGAAATATGAGTAGATGAGAAATGAAGTTATAACACAACATAATATACTCGTGAAAGAGATAAAATGTTGATGTCTTTTTTTTTGTTTTCATTGGCTAGGAGTGTAAACATAAATGTGTCTATGTTTACATTGCATCATCTCAAGATCGAATGGTAGGTGAGAAATTATAAACGAAGTAAGTAATCATAGGAAGTAGACCAAATACCTATTCAAGACTCAGTCTACCTACCTTTGTCTGAGTCACAAAGAAAGTGAGTAGTATGAATAAACATGGTTTATATACATTATAATTTGATCTTGCTACTAAACTATCTTAATTGGTTTAGCTTCTTCATTCGGATAGTGGGTTTCGTAGAACGTCGGAAGTGCACATCACAATTCAAATGAACTGCAGGACACAACAGTCTCAATGTTTGAAACATTGGGTTGTAGATTCGAAGTCTCATTCAAACACCTCAGATTCACTAACCGAGATATATAGCCAGCACCTCTACTTTTCATGAAGCTCAAAGTTGAATATTTGAACGGGTATATATATTCTATATGAAGTTCAGGTCAATTATATTGTCTAGACTGACATATTATCTTGTTCAGACAACACAAAACAACCAAGACATATAACTTTTAAGTTGAAATGATAAATAGGAGTTTTAACTCAAGTAGGATGTATTTAGTTTTACTGTATACTCCAAGCTCAATGATTTAATTGAGAAGCTTACATTGTCGGTCTCGACAACCCTGTACAGTTCATTTGAACTGAATTTAAAATAACAACTTAGAGAGTAAAACAGTTGAATTTCATCCTTTCAGTCATAGGTTCAAACCTCCGTCCTACTTACTATAATTTAGACTATTAAGTACTAGTAACGCAAACCATTATACTCAAAATCTAAGCGGTGATACGAGGGTTAGAAAAGATCATCGAATTTTATAGATAACACCACGGATTGATGTGAATTAAACAGTGAATGAAATTTAAGAAGAACTCGGGGTTAGATCCTCATTGTATATTGTTGAATAGTCCCATATTAAAACCAAATAGATGTTCAGTATTTCTTAAATTTCAATCGTTACTTTAAAAAAATATTTCAATTAATGATATTGACTATAAAATTAATAATAATCACTGTTGTGTGCTTAACTCCACCTAGAACCCCACTGGAGCTACTACCGGTCCCAAACTCAAATAAAGCAAGAGAGTTAAGCATGGGATTAGCGACCTCATCCCGTAGAAATCTAACTCGCCAAAGAACAACGCTAACCAGAAAGTAAGTAACTAAGTAAGTAAGCAAGTACTGTTTTATACTTACATCATTAGTATGTTTATAAAATGGTGTACTTGATTCATCAAATGGAATATTCAAAAGATTTTCTTTATTTTCATATTCTTCATAATGTTTATGAAGTAAATCATGAATTTGTTGAAGTGTTTCTTTTACTTTTAAATGAGCAGATTGAATGGTTTCCAATGGTTTATCATAAATCAATAAATTTGGATATTCTTCACGAATTGACACAATTTTATCGACTAATTGATCTAAATATATATCTGTCAATACATTAGCAAAACCTTTAGATTTTTGTAAAATTTTATTGAATTCCATTGATGATGATGATGAGGAGGAGGAGGAGGATGAGGTGGATGATGATGAGGATGGTGGAAGTTTCTTTCCAAAATTATCAGCCTTTGATCCATCCAATATTAAATAAAACATAATAATAAGATTTTTATCATTATCAATAATGTTTGAAATGAATAGAGGAAGAGTGTAATATCTTATAGTTAACAAGAAGTGAATATACATTCACTTGATGTTGTTTTATTTATATCTACCAATTGTTAATTAAGACTACAAATCATCAGTCTCTTGTTGGCATATGTGCATTTTGTGCAGATTACCTTCAGTCACAAGTATTTTAAGCAAAGATGGAGAGTGTCTAGCATTGGAATCTAGTTTGACGCGTGTTTCGTCCTATTCGGAATTCATCAGCTGGATGTACCTGCATCCCTGAGTTGATGTTTACTCTGGGACTCGAACCCGGTACCGTTCGCTTTAAACGCCATGACGTTATCCACTTACCTATTGAGTCCTGATCACCACCTGTTTGTGCAATAGGGTGAAGTTTAAATTCATTTGTATCTTCTTATTGTTATTGAGGAATGTAATTGATCAGTCTCATGTTGACATATTTGCAATCCTATGCGGACTGCCTCGATATAACCTTAAGTAACAAGCTTTTTATGCAAAAAAAAACGCATGTCCTAGATTCAACTGCTAGCCATTATCCCCCTTTTTGCTTAAAAAGTTATTATATATTCATTAGTAAACTCATATTGTGAGCTTTCAACAGCTCTTCTTAAAAGAAAACTTATAGTGAATAATAAATTATTCAACGCTTAACGAGCAATGGATTGGTGATTAAGGCATTGGACTTTTTAGCTAATAAGTTAAAGATTTGAAAAAACCCACCTCAGTCACCTTGTTTTGAGCGACTGAATTAATATCAGCAGTCTTTACATTTAGAGTATGGTTTGAAGCCAAGTATAAGTATCTGTACTATGTAAATAAGTTAGATAATGTAGATCATCATCTGAAGAAGTGATTAAAGAGTACACAGAGGATTTTATAAACAATATTTACAAGAAACTATGATATGGTTTACAAAATGTTGATTGATCATAGTTGGCACTTAATTGTTCAGTATATAATGCATTAGACGTTCGTAACCAAACATTCCTAGTTCGAGTCCAATCGTTAACATGAGTACTGGGATGCAAATATATTCAACTAATCATTCCTAAGTAGAAAGAAATGCACGTTCTGGATTCCATTGACACATCAAACTAGAAATTAATCTACTTGATAATGAATAGTTAGAGGCAAACTGTTTCCATTCCCAGTAGTACTAGTCACAGTAGAAACTGTATCATAAGAACAGAGGACAAATAACCTGACCAGTCAAACGATGGTGCCAAGTCTATTATAAGTATCTGTAATCTCGGGAATAAGCAGATCCTGTCTATGGAAATTTAAGCACTGTAGATTAGATGATCTAGACTTACTTACGCTATATCAATAGTCCACAAATAAATTGTAGCTGTAATTGTTAAGTTTTAAATTGTGCTAAATCACTTAATATTCTAAATAGGCTATATCTATAAAATTTCTGTTGGAGATCCTAATCCACTTCAACATCACAATTCACCACTGACCATTAAAACTTCTTATAGTACGCCGTTAATTTTGATTCCTAATTATAGCATAGTGAGTGAAAGGTGACAATCAACTCAAGGACAGATACCACTTATTAGTTTGGCTGCCCCTAGCTTTCATTCAGCCTACTCTTACACTATGAAGCATTGCACAACGAGGTAGAAGTTTGGCTGGATATACTATGATACAAGTGTCAACCATCTCAGTGTATGAAGATTCACTACCTCATCAACTGATTTCTTATCTTTATCTATTACCGTAAGTTTAACCATAACATGAGTCACTTTAAGGTTTAACTATACGTGAGTAACAGAATGGCAAACGTCTGAATGACTCAATGTGTAACGCTAGAGAAAAATAGAATAGATGTGATTATCACGCAAACTGCAACCAGATAGGATATACCTCCTTACATAGCTTAGTTTAACAGTCACATCCTAAATTTTTTGATTAAGATCATGAATCGATTGATGTTAGACCATCGTTAGAAACCTGGGAGCACTGGACGGCTGTTTCGTCCTAGTATGGGACTCCTCAGCAGTGCGCATCCACGATCCCGCCCGCGGGATTCCAACCTACTGGACCACTGAGCCGGTCAGCATCCAACGGTGTTAATGTCTAACCTCAACCAATCGACGTAATTGCGCGACCATCTTCCATTGTACTGAGGTAGATACCTGTCTCTCCCGACACGGATTAGCTCCACTGGTCACGGCTTCTCACTAGAACTCCTAGAATTCCCTCACGAAACTAGTCACCAGTGAGCACATGTTAATTATCAGTATAGGGGTTGTGGTGATTAGACCATCTTAAATTTCTTGCAATCTAATTCAACGTCAATTATAAGCATACAGAATACTATTGTAAGTTTGTTGAAGATAGTAAACACTAATTTTTTTTCTCATAGATATAACAATATACCCTTTCAAAAGAGTCATGATACAATGATACAGGAACAAACTTGTAAAACAATAAACAACAACAACAACAAACAAACAAACAACCGTAACTTAAGAAAAAGAGAAATCTATATCATTGTAGACTGTTTGTATTATCCATGTTATACATGTCATATAATGAATGGTACAAAAGTATAAACATATTTAGTATAATATTAAATAATAATTTATAACAAAATAAAATGGATGACTGGTTAGTGAATTGGCGATTTAATGAACAACTTAGACATACACACAGACGCACACAAGCATACATACAGGGGAGAAAGGGATGATCAATCTAGTATGTGTGTTTTTTTTTCAGTAGAAAAGATAAAATGCAAATGAAACATCGTGAGAGAGAGAGGGGGGAGAAGAACAAACAACCGTGTAACGGTTTACAAAATGGTTATCTTTTACAGAACAGAATATGAAGTACCAACACATACACTCACACACAAATACATACAAAGATCCATGATATATATATAAGCATGTAACCATATAACTGTTATAATGTAGATTTATCTTCGTTATTTATTTATTCAATAATGATTAAATCATCATCATCATCGTCGTCGTCAGCAACTGGTACAATAATAGGTGATGATATTGTTGTCGAATCTTTATCAAATCGTAATTTCTTCTCTTTGATTGTATTCATATTGTCTTGATTATCACAAGTGATTGTCTCGAGAAATTTACGTTTATTACTACTATTATTAATACTAGTAGTAGTATTATTATTATTAACACCATTTTCCAAATCTTGATTTAATGTAATCATAGACTCTTCAGTAATTTCAATTAAATCATTCTCTGTATCATCATTATTGTTATGAATAGATTCATCTAAGGGAAACAGAAGAAGAAGAAGAAGAAAAGAGAAGAAATAAATTGGAATATCTAGTTTAAAATATTTTAGATAGACGCTCTGAGATCGATTTCATACTCGTTAAAATCAGTCAGTCAGTCAGTCGGTCAATCAGTAACAACGTGGAACTTCGTACGTATGTACATCAGTTCAAGTTGCCATATCACATTAGCATAGAGACGTAATTGTTGATTCAAATCTCATAGTGGTAGAGATAGTAAAAGTATAAGCAGTAATCGGAAACACTAGGGTTTGAAGATGTTACTCAAGGAGTATAATCCAGTGAAATATATTTGGAAAGAGAAAAAAGAAAGGGACATGAAGAACTTCTTAAAATGATCCAGTTGAGAAGGTAGATTATGTTGACAGTAAATTGTAAGAAAGTCCTACTGAAACTAGAACGATGTGGTTGAGTATTTTTACACTAACTAAATAGTGTAAGCTGTTGATATGGAGAGTTCATTTAGGGTAGCTGATATATTGTAATTTCAAATTAATAATCCTATAGATTATCTCAAAAATCCTAAGAAAATTAAATGTGGAAAAATGATTTGAACCTGTTGATTTATTTGATACCAATATGTAAAGTACTTAGGCGAGTAAAGGATCTAAAACTCTTACATGATAGGAACATCTATATATCTAGTACGCTAATAAAATTCACTGTAACCATCGTTTATTACACGGTGGCATATCATAGGACATGTACTTGCAAGCCATTTCACTAAACATTTGTAGATAATATTCAAGTTGGAAGTCGTTGAGACAACAAGTCAAACGTAACGTAGAACCACGTACGTTTGTAAATCGGTTTAAGTTCACATACTTCATTATCGAGATGTGATTGTTAGACAAATTTCTAGAGTTGTAGAGGTAGTAAGAATATTAGTGGTAATAGAAAAGATTGGGTTTCGTGAAGATTTTAATAATTGAATTTATGAATTAATTACTAGTATTCGACCATAGATGTCTTCGAAGCATCGCTCGTATATCCTGATACCACCAAGTAAGTGACGCAGTTGTTAGGAAACGGGTACTAGGTAAGGATGTAAAATCAATTGATGAAGTAGTGAAACTTAATCAGTTGAGATGGCTGGGACATGTGTTACGAATGCCCGACCACCGACAACCCCGCCCCGACGTGCGATATTTCATGGTGTAGGAGTAGGTTGGAAAAATGCTAGGGCCGTCCAGACCAAAACATGGCACAAATCCATGAAGTCACTGACAAGTGGACTGAGCCATATTGGTAGGTGTAGACTACCTGGTTGGGATCCGCGAGACGATAGCGACCGACGGTTAGAGACCTTGAATGAGATTACTCAAAATCGTTTACAATGGCACAGGTGCATCCACTCGTTGTGTTCTCCCAAATTCTAATCTTCTGAATTCTTCATGTCCCTCTTTTCTTCTTCCCAAATTTATTTCACTGAATTATACTCCTTGAATAACATCTTCAAACCCTAGTGTTTCCGATTACTGCTTGTACTCTTACCACCCCTACCACTACGGGATTTGAATCAACAATTATATCTCTGTGCTATTATGTTATGGCAACTCGAACTGATGTACGTACGTACGTACCAACTGACTGGCATTGAAAATAAGAATTATTGACAACATGTATATCTTTCCAACTCAGCAGAGTCGGCTTTTTAGATACCGTAATAATAATGGAATCTAGATTTTCCTTATGCCCGATTCTGCGTTGCCGGAGTTAAGCATTACTAACACAGTGTAGTCATTAAATACAAGTGATCTTTCGAAGATTATGATATCTGAAAATATAAACATCGAGTATATTAAACTCGTAGAGGCCAAGTGTTGCAGGCACAAACCAGCAATGTGCGTACAAACACGTCACAAGACTTATATTTTGTGACTAGCCTAAGTCGTGACAAAACGAAAAGTATTTAGGACAAAGGTTGTTATCAGTCTTGTAAAATTACTTTACACTTTGACATAATAAATTATATTCCGAAACTACATACCCTAGCTACCGACTGACTGCGAGCGATTTGTGCGGCTTGTATCATACACCAGTAAGACAATTTTCGAGATGAACTGCACAAGTCGCATATTTACATTACTGTGTACACCTTTTTATAAGCCCTTTCTCAAAGTACCATTATTCATAATGAATTTGAAATATGATAACAACACTGAGTAAAACTGTCCAACTAACAAATCAAGAATGCAAATATTTAGTACTGGGTACCAATCATTTAAGAAACAATGATAAATTAGTTGAAGACATCGCCATCGATTGCAGCGGTTACAATATGTTGTGTATATATAGTCAATACCAATGTTAACGTCTTATGCTACTTGATAGCTTCACTGCAATTAATGTTTTAGGTTATCTTACCATTATCCTTAAACGACATAAACTCAAATCATGAAGATAACCTATCTGATTTCCAAATACTTATCCAAAAATATCCATAGACATATATAAAAATATGTTCTCTCATTACCTGTATGTTGATTGTTCTCTTTTTCAGCATTCTTTTCTGATACTGTATTATCATCTTTTGAATTCGGCAAAATAGAATTTATATCACCTACAATTCTCCATATCTCGGATTGTTGTTCCTCATTAGTGAATTGATCTGCTAAACGACTATTGACATTAAGGTTCAATGTTGAAGTTGATGTTGATGAATCAGTAGTAGTAGTAGGTAATGCATTAGCCAACTCTACACTAATACATGATAAAATAAGTCGGATAGTAAAATCTTGACGAAAATCATCACATTGTAAACAAGTACCATGTGTTAATTTAAAGTCAGCTAATGTTTTATTTAACGTCTCTGAAATGAGAAAACAAAAATGAGGAAAAACAATTGACATTAGCAAGGAATTACCAATGATAGGATCAATAAAACTGTTTTGTCTAACCTACTAAACCAATTAATGAATGAATTAATTAACGTAAAATCCAGAACATCGTATTAACACCAATCCTATTAGGTAATTTAGAAGTAGTCAGATGTGGTGGATTAACACTAAAAACGATTAAACATTACCTATTGCCTGCTCGTTAGTAAACATTCCAGATCAACAGAAGATCAGTTGCAATCAAATAACTCACTAGTAAAGTCTTAGATTGTGAAGTTTAGTGACGCAGGTTCAAACTACACAGAAAACATCAGTTCACTAGTAATCACTTTGATGATGGGTGCCAACTAATAGAAAAGTTTCGTTCAAGATTTTCTGTTGGCCATCTACAGTCATGCGATTTTGATTCACTAAGACAAGTGGCGACATTTGATTAAGAAAATTTAATCAGCCTTAAATGACAAGACAAACATAACATTCTTCAGTGACTCTAATTCTGTACACGTCACATCATTCATAGGTTACGTAAATCTCAACGTTATTAAAGTCTATAAACAAGACGTTTGAGACAGAGACGAGTGGTTATAGGTACACCATTTATGAGTTAAATTATCATAGTTACATTTACAAAATATACAAGAATACAACACACCAAAATATATAAAAATTTCATTGTGCAAATAACTAGCATCATTTCGACAACAAAATTGAGTAAGACAGTACCTATCTCTTAGAACCTTCTCGTGTTACCTATTCAGCTACTGGGTCCATAACAACTAATATGTTTCAAGTGTATGGTGAGTATTCGTAAAGCTTAGTATTATTCTGTTATAGGTGTTAAGGATATTAGGAAATGATGGTAAATCAGTTGGTGAGGATGTGAATCTCCATCCACGTGCTGCGTATTCCTGAACACCGATTACAACAACGCGCAATGCTGACTAGTGTTGAGGATGGTTGGAAGAAAGTTAGGGACGGTCAAAACAAAATGTGGCATCAGTGCTTCAAGTCACCAACTTCTGGTCTAAGCCATGTTGGCAGATGCAAACTACCTGGTTGGGGTCCGCGTGACTATCGTAACCAATGGTTGGAGACTCTTGATGACATGGCTCAGAATCGATCTACGAACTAATTCTTTCTTCCTGTACTATCTCCTCATATGCAATCTTTCTTTTATATATTACCACCATTGACTTAACTACTTCTATGAATCCGGTGTTCATCTTGCAGTACTAATAAGGTATGGCAACTTGGACCGATGCATATACGTGCCTGGTCCTACGTTGTAGCTGACAGACTGACTGTTGAGTATTGAGTTTCAGATGTGGATCCTAATGCTGTTCAACAATGCAAACGTACTGAAAACTTATAACAAAAAATCCAATGTCATAATGTACATATCTGAACAAAGACTGATCGAAATTCTTTATGTGTTTTGTAACCTAACTGAACCTTATAAAATAATGGAGATCTACAGCTCAAGTGGATGATGATATTGATCAAAAAGATAATGAAATGTCCACAGTTAAACTATCTTGTTCAAAGAACAAAACAATATTATAGACACTGAATACTATACAATCTATAACCATGTAATAATCAGTTCAATTTTCACTGTTTTACCCATCGAAATAAGCCGGGGTTAAGGTTATCATCAATTAATTAATACGTACAGTACTTTACATATGACAAGTTATTTGATCTATGAAATTATTACTAAAGTTCCTAAGCAGTAGTAAATTACAATTTCACAAATTTTTTTCCATTTGTCAATATGTCGGTAAATGTAAAGTAATCTCCAACCATCTTTTTACAATCATAAGAATTACTTAAAGCTGGATACATATACGTATAGTAAATTTACTGAGAAAGAAATTAGATCAAGGACTCAAATAGTAATGGAGTGAAAAGGTAAACCAACCTTCATCTGTTTCATCTTCTTCACTTGATATTAGTATAATGCCACGATCAGGTACCTCGACATCTGGAGCAAGCATACCTAAATGTCGTATTAAGATACGATCACGTAGAATACGCAATGTTAATAATTCCGGTGCACAAAGTAAATGAAGTTGAGAATTTCGAACAGAATCACTACACACTAAACAAGATGGATTTGGTAGTGCTGGTTCAACAGGAACAACAAGTCGACGATTACCACGACGACCAGTTGGTCGACGATGTATGTACACAGTACGAATACGCTAGAGAAAAAATAAAAATGAAATGGAAAGGAACCTCTTTTGTTAAAAACTTAGTGAATGAAATATAAAACTAGTTATTACAGTGTATTATGTAGTAGATCATCACAATAGCAAACACGAAATGTTGCACAATAACAGTCAATGTACAACAGATTATACTGTATATACAGTAACAAATACAATTCTTTACAAGTACAATAAACTATACTAAAATTATTTTACCATCTGTAAATTGATTTTCACCAACTGTTATCGTTGACAGGAGCTCCAACAAGATACTACGATTTAGAATGCAATTAGTAATATAGAACAATAATCGATAAGACAAATAACAAACAATGGAAATTCTATTTGATAACATGATAATGAAAAATATCTTCACGACTATTCAAAATGTATTTGGGACGCTTACTTGTTGGATTGTTTTTTTTTAAAAAAAGTGAAATATACATGAGTTGGCCCCCAAATGCCCTGGTACGGCCAAGAGTGGAGAGATTTCGCTCTCACTCTCGAAATGCTCTCACATGGCCACGCGTATATAGCCTCTGACAGGGAAGTCCTACTCACTGCCTTCTCGCAGCACCGGTGTTGTTTACGAAAATGAGAGGACGAAAAGCGAATGTCCGGCGCTTTAACCGGATCCCAAACCAATGGTGCACATGGGCTCCAGTATCCCCAAGGAACAAATGGCGTATGAACCAATCGTTGGTCACCGGCTACCATGGGACTGCATCTCCTTACGATGCTCCACTGCCTTGTGGGTTAGACGTTCAGGTCGAAGGCTCGGGGTGTGGCCCCCTAAGAAAACCACCTATTTTGGTTTGGGCACCCGAGCAGTATCACAGCGCTCACACAAATCAATTGATATTTGTGTGGCGCATATGTATTTGGTACCTCCTTGTACCAACATCTATGTGTTAAAATAAATAAATAAAATAAATACATAAGTTGAATTACCCTTTGTCCATATCTCTAAACAGGAAAAAATTGGATTAAATTAGTTGTATGGAGAAGCACCTATCTCTTTTACTTACATAACTCTGAAAGTACTCTTTCACATTAGGACTGTATTTTGAAAAATTACATAGTCGATTAGTAGAGAAATTGGATAGTTTGAATAAGGCTAGAATCGGTTAAATAAAACGATAGCATCATTCTACAAAGTCATTAACTGTTGGAAAGACTCTTACTGAAGGGATCTAAATTACAAAGATGATTAGTGGTAGGGGAAATTCGATAACATAGAACAGAATTGACCACAATGGTATAAATTCAATCTTCTTTATCATCACTGTGTTGAGAAATGTTGAATCTTTCAAATGCTACATTTAGAATGAAAACAATTTTTTCTAGATTCACAAATTGATTTAAAGTAAAATTCATTCAATCACTTTTGTTGTATGTTGATTTATTCAATACAAAGTTAGATGGTGGTTGGAGGTAGTCCACAGGAAACCCTGGACCCGGGTTTCATGCTACTTGGCACTCGTCAGCAAGGTGCAACTGTAATCTTTGAGGGAACTAGTGCTCCCTGGCGAATTCAATCCCGTGTCATCCAGCTTCACAGTCAGAGATGTTATCACTGAGCTATCCAGGCCGCGACCGACCTCCTGTAGGACTGAGATGTAATCACCTCCTGCACTAATAATAAGGACTAGACACGCATGACATTGGTCACTCAGTGATCAATCAATTGTGAATATAAAGTTAAATTACGTTATTTTCAATCCATCTTTTATTTATTTGAACATGTAAACATAGGTAAAAAGGGTCACCGAATACATATGCGCCACACAATTCATTTGATTTGTGTGTGGGCCATGATACTGCTCGGATGCCCAAACTGAAGTGGGTGGTTTTCTTAGGAGGCCACAATCGGAGCCTTCGACCTAAAGGTCTGATCCACAAGACAGTAGAGCAATGTAAGGAAATGCATTTCCATGGTAGCCATTGACCAGTAATTGGTTCATACGCCGTTTGTCCCTTCAAGATCCGGGAGTCCACATGTACTACTGGTTTGAAATCATGGTTTTCCAACTTCCCTAGGTAGATCCTCTATATCCACCGACCGGGTTAAATCACCGAGCATTCGATTTTCGTCCTCTTAATTACGTAAACAACACTGGTGTTGCGAAAAGCCAGTAAGTAGAACTTCTCTGGAAGTGACTGTATATGCGTGGCGGTGTGTGAGCGTTTCTAAGCGAAGCAGACTCTCTCTACCCTTGGCCGTACCAGGACATTTGGGGGTTAAGGTATTTATTCAGTATAAAGTTAGTTTACGTTATTTTTAATGCATCTTCATTGAATTAATATAATACTCCGTAATATAGTTTTTTTACAGAGTATGTAACTTAGTTCTTCCAGAGTTTCAACTAAGAGAAGAAACTACACAAACTTGAAATTTTTACTGCACAGGATAGAACCAGTCTCATTTATTGTATCAAAGTCGGAGTTGTGAATAACTAGCTAATTATCTAAATGTATCATATTGATTAGATTATTATTATAATTCTGACTTTTGTGTTATTCATCTAGTTAGTTACATCTCTCTCCCTCTCTATGTATGTGTGTTTCCATTTTATTTTCTCTAGTTGTAGATGATGGGGGTTAGCGACCACATCCCGTAGAAAACTAACTCGCTAAAAAACGCCAACCAGAAAAAATTATTCAAACCATTTAAACTCTGCCCTAGGAGTCAGAAAGTCTTCATTTAGAAGTTATAATGCCTCATGAGAAAGCCGAGTTCCTTCGGAAGTCACGAGGCTGATGCCCCTTCTGACAATCAGAGCAATCATTTATTTAGGTACATGGAATCCTTGTATAATGTGGGAGACTGGGAGAGTCTTCCAAATTGCTGCAGTTGTAGATGATTATAATCAACTCGTTATGGAGTAGGAAATGGCTCTAAATACACCAAAAAGTTCCAGGCTAATACCTTTCATTTCTGTAATACATGTAAAAAAATGTACTACCTAAACAATTTCTGAACTAAAACACTTTAAACAATCTAATACCCCATTTATCGTTTACATTTGATATTACCATTTATATTAAGCTGATTATGTCTGTAAACTAGTATGAATACTGTAATTCTTATTTCCAGAATATATATTATATTACTATTTTATATGTGATAACTTGGTCGTCTAATGTTTTTGTACCAAATCCTACTCTCATAATGATCTACTAACTTAGCCATTCAAGCACCATGAACATGGAGCCTGACACATGTGCATCGATACAAGTTACTATACAGGATTAGCATGACGAGATGAAAATAACAAAGTGAATAGTATAAAAGATCGAAAGATTGTAATAACAATGATAATGACAAAAATTAAACATAAGCAATACAATTCCAAGAAACGGAATGGAAAGGTACGTGTAAAGGAATAATGAAATTCAAGATCAAGAGGAAGAAAAAGAGTGAATGTATTTGGTTTATTGTGAACAATTCTGAACAATGTCGCCCAAAGCCTCCAACCACTGATCGCTATTATCGCCCAGACCTCAACCAAGTAGTCTGTATTATCCAATATGTTTTAGATAAGCAATCAAGGAGTTCATGAACTGACGCACTGTCTTCCTTTGGCCTCTCCTAGCCTTTTTTAAAACTACTCTTACACTGATTAACCGTAAATAAGAGATGCATATACAAGAAAACGAAATATTGGAATCAATAATAAAATTACCTCAAACTTTTTAGATAAAATGTGTCTAGCTTGTAGTACCATAAGACCAGCAACGATGGCATTTGTTGATGCTACAGCTGGTATGATATTCCCAGCTAAAGATTTAATAATAAATCTGGTTAACTGATCAGCACCGGGTAAATGAAATAACTGTGATCGAATAATTGATGCTGAGGCAACAAAATCCATAGCTTCCGGGTCATCCTACAATTGAAAAATGATAGTAATAGTAGTAACAGTATTAGGAATATACGAATTAATATTAAAATAAACGAGCTGTAGGGATCAGTGGGATCCAGGATGTGTGATTTGTCTTATTTAGAATCCGTCAGCTGGATGTACCTCCATTTGTGTTGATGACCAGAGTGAGACCTGGATTCAGTACCATTTGTTTCAAACATGCAACGAGTTATGCAATAAGCTATTAGTCCATACAATCACCGTAACTTGTTCAACATGTATGGTGTTTATATCAATAGTAGTAAACGGCTAAATTATCCTATTTTCGAAATTTAGGATGGAATTTTGATCAGTTTGTGTTGACATAAATGCATCATACTGTGCCGATTGCATTGATATAGTTATTTCATGGTATTTATTTTATTTATTTATTTGTACACATAGATATTGGTACAGGGGGGCACCAAATATATATGCGCTACACAAAACAATGAGAGTTTAAGGAGAAGGGAAAAAAAGTAGGGAACGTGGGGAATTATAAAAAAAAAGAGAACGATAATAGGGGAGACGAAAAGGTACACTCAGAAATCTTACAGCTAAGGAAGATACAACCACTTTTTATGAAGAAAGTAAAAGAAGGTTAAAGCACGATCGCCACTGGCTTCTATTCTGAGCCATATCTGATAACGTCTCTAGCCACTGTGTTACAAGATCTCTTGGACCCCAGCCAGGGAGTCGTGAAGGACCAACAGAAGCTAGCCCTTTGCAGCTTTTTTTTGTCATACCACGACACCATGTCATATACTGACCACCTACCTCTCCGCTTTTTCCAACCAGTCCCAAATATAATGAAAATGATCATACTCTATTTCATGGTAAGTGTTTTTTTGTGAATGTATGAATGGATCATAAATCTGTGCAACTAACAGATGAGTTAAAAACGACTGTTTATTTGCTTAAGCGCTTGACATTTAGCTGTTTAGGTAATAAGTTTATAGCGCACTTTTTTAGCTATAGTTTAGACAACCAGACATTACCACAATTAACTATCATACAAAAAACGATATGATGTGACTTAAGGCCTATAAATTAAAGTTTTACTTAATTGTATCGAGCTTTCATGATGATGACATTATGTATATGGAGGTCCGTAGTACTTTAGAAAGGGGTACAAAAACCCGAAATGAGTTAAATTTCGGGATAGTTGTTGTTCTGTGAAAAAGTGATTGACAAATATCAGTAAGCTCTTTTTGACTAACATTACACGTCCGTCTCTTACACAGAACACACTATTATGACGTAACACTTCAGGTAGGTAATTTAATCATAAACGCGTTTTTATTGAAAAACTTCACAAATAATTCTATCATCACAAAGTGTTGCCATGGAGTAATTGCTAATGTAACTTATTTACCAAACATAATTTCATATATTACGGCATTCAGTTATACTTAAGCAATCAGGAATAATAATACTAATTGCCTACTTACATCGAAGTGAGAAGAGAGGAGTTTGCAAACCCGCAGTCTATTTATTGAAAGCCAGGTGAACGTCAACTACAAAGTAACCCCATACCAATCTGTAATCGCCCCCGAATGCCCTGGTATGGCCGATAGTGGGGAGGGCCCGCCCTCCCTCTCGAAATGCTCTCACATGGCAACACGTATACAGCCTCTGCCACGGACGTCCTACTCACTGCCTTCTCGTGACACCGGTGTTGTTTACGAAAATGAGAAGACGAAAAGCGAATGTCCGGCGCTTTAACCGGATTCCAAACAAATGGTGCACATGGGCTCCAGTATCCTGCCTGAGGGAACAAATGGCGTATGAACCAATCGTTGGTCACCGGTTACCATGGGACTGCATCTCCTCACGATGCTCCACTGCCTTGTGGGTCAGACGTTTAGGTCGAAGGCTCGGTATGGCCCCCTAAGAAAACCACCTGCTTCTGTCTGGGTACCTGGGCAATATCACAAACCACACACAAATAGAATGAAATTGTGTAGTGTATATATATCTGGTGCCCACTTGTATCAATATTTATGTGTTCAAATAAATAATCTGTAACCGCTGATGATAGTAAATATTTTCTTAAAAATGTTAGCTGACTGAGACTTAGTTTGCAAGGAAGACAAAACCTAAATCATCAATCAAATACTTTTTGACTAAATATTCAGGATATAATATTATGAATTACCTTATCCCATACTAAATATTTATCCCCTCCACTATCTTCTACTTGTTTCTGTAGTTTGTCAACTGATTTTAAGAATATACGAAGCCAACCTGATGTAGATAGTTTCCGTTGATCACGTAATTCACTGACACATCCTGAATCCAATAATTCATCTGATATTGTGATGAGATTTAAGTATAGATTTTGTTGAAGAAAAACTGAAGTTAGTTTACACCAGTTTATGAGAATAAAAATGATATTATTGATAAATTATGCAATATCAGGCATAACTACAACGTAAGATCTACCATATGTGTACATCGGTTTAAGTTGTCAGAACCATTTAGCACAACGAAATGAAATTATCATGATGAATTTTAGGGTAACAGAAATAATAACAGTATTAGTGGTAATAGAAAAGACTAGGCATCGAATATACGATTCGAGAGTAAAATATAAATTAGTGAGATAAAACTTATGAGGAATTGAAAAACTTAGTAGTTGAAGAAAGACAGAGTGTGAATGCATCTGCGACATTGAGAACGAATTTCAACCATGTTACTCAAAGTCTCTAACCATTGGTAACGATGATCAAGAAGACCTCAACTAGGTAATTTACACCTACATAGATAGACTAGAAGAACAGCTGATATCTTCATGGACTGATGCCACGAAATTTCTCTGGCCAGTCCCTAGCTTTTTCATAACTTATTCCTACACAAATCATCATCGTGCGTCGAGAGAGTCAGTAGATGTGAATATACAACACACTACCCAACCATCTCAATCAATAAAGATTCATTATGTTGTCAATCGACTTACCACACTAACTTAGTACTTTGCGTTTAACCCCAGAACTGTCAACTTCATGACCCCAAAATATACCACCGCTGTTTCGAAGATACCCATGGCCGAATACTAATAACCTACGAATATGCCCTATTTTTAAATGCCATAGTCAATATTGTTTGGGAAGATAGAACGAATTCGTCGGATAAAAGGTATTATTAAATATTTTTCAAACTCAAAATCAAGAGGAACACAAAGAGTGATTGCATTTGCACGATTGACTCATCTCAACCATTGGTTTCAGTAGTCGTAAGGACCCCATCTAGGTAGTCTGCACTTACCAGACATACATCAACACAAAGCCTGACATAGATATGAATTTCCTACACCACATTAGCATAATGAGACTAAAATAACAAAAGATCCAAATAATGTAGTGATATAAAAGAACCAAACATTTGGAATACGGTTCAAAAGACGGAGCGGTAAAGCATGAATGAAAAGATACTAGATCGAAAGGATGTGGTGGTCGGTGTTCGATATATTCCTTAAACTCCGTACACAGTTTGTCTCGGTAACCGTCACTAAATAAACTCTCCAACGGTATATTAATCAGAAGACGAAAACGAAGTGTTAATTACGTTTATTATAGGACCACACACAGATATCCAAAATTACAAATGTGTTAAGCAAGCATGAAATCGTTGTGCCGAAAGGCAAACAGGCAAGCGAGAGGGCGAGAGAGAGCAAGGGCAAGAGCGAGTGAGCGAGATAGTAGTGAATATGAATAACATGGACATATATATACATAGTGAAATGAATGAATCATTGAGTCAATTAAGCGGTTAATAGTAAAGCTAGTAGAGTGAATAAATGCGTAGGCAGTAGGGCTTGCCGAGCATACATGTTCATACAAACAAGCATAACAATAATAAAGGTACAATAAGTTATTATAGTGCAGGTGACTTTGTCTGTTTAATAAGTTAATAAAAGGGCTTAACCGAATTAGGTGAGAGCAAACTCAATTGAACGTGGGTTGCTATAAGGAACTATGATGATCAAGCTACACACCTAGAGCAGCATCTAGTAACATGGCTTGGACCAAGTTAATGACTTGAGAAACCGATACTACACATTGGTTTGGTCATCCCAAGCTTTAATTCAAACTACGCCTAGAAAATCAAACATCAAGTGTCTGGGTAGGTGATGGTTTATTTTTCCTAAGGATTTTATAAAATTTAAACACTAAATTTCCTAATATTACTGTAGTATAGTGAGAATTTTAACTGTTTGGATGACATCAACATACATGTTTACATCGATTAAAACTGATACTAAAAACTTTATTGAATGAAAAAGAAATATTAATTCCACAATGAAAACAAAATACCAATCACCTGAATCTTTTTGTAATGCATCTTTCATTGTAGTCTTTTCCAAAGGACTCGGTTCTCGACGATCTTGACGGTCAACCCATAAATCACGCATACTAACCAATGTGACAATATCATGATGAAATAATCTCCAAGATAGTGAAATGGCACCAGATGAAATTTTACGATTTTCTAAATTAGACAGATCATTTTCATTATTAGACCATAGAATGTGAAACCATTCTCTTAAAGTAATTTGATCAGGTTTAACTGAATTTACAATCGCTGTACTATCTGTATTTAATATATCATCAGATTTATTGATAAGATCGTTTTTAGCCGGCAACAACTCATTATTAATCTGATTACGATCATGGTTATGGAGACTTGGATCAGTGAAATCCGGAGAGACATCTTCATCATTCACATCAGGTTGACCAAATAGCTGACTAGAAAATGGAAAATATAAAAACAATCATCAAGTTGCAGTCAGATTACATAACAGATGACACTAACTGGGGATTCGGCATACTACGAAGGACTCCGAATAGCTATATCATCCAAATTTCGGACTCCTAAGTGAAGGAGTACATCCAAGGTCCAAAAGTCAAATTAAAACGGTGGGTAAGACACTCTATTGAGAGTTGTTTATGCACCTAATCAAGTTTGCAACCACATCCTGTTATCTAGTATAGGGAGGACAATTATATAAATATCTATGATTTGTCGACATTAAAATTCAGTTTAATAATTAAAATCTTCCTACCCGTTTCAGTCTTCTTAGTTACATAATAGGTCTGATATACTGTATGGAAGTATATATAGAAACTGAACGGCACAAAATAACACAATGATACTACATGACCATTAGGGTAAAAGTGATCCAGTGCATTCTGATGCTTAAGAAGTTTTTCATCTGGTAAAATGTAACTTGAAATTCAAAAATCTCCACAAAGACTTTCGTTTAATAGTGATAAGTCACTGTTTTGTAAAGATGAAAATAGATTATCACCACAAACCCAAAATAAGCTGACTTTTTAAATCCTTCTTTACTAGGTACACATAAAAAGCTTGTTATAATGTGACAGTGAGATGTAAGATCTATTAGAGATATTATAAAATTTCATTCTTATTTTTACATCTGTTATAACACTTTGATTTTCGCTAAGTTAAAACCGAAAATCTAGACTGTAGATAGTCGAGAACGAGACAGTTTGTATGGTCTGCAATACTGTACATGAACTTGGAACAAAGTACACGGTTATCTTACAAAGCTGCTTTAAACCTAAGAACTTGACATAAGAGTCTAATTCGTAACACAATTGAGTAATTTTGTTAGTACTATTGTAAAGCTATTGACCCAAATATGCTAGTATGCTATACTTTTTCACAATATCTAACAGTTCACCCTACTTCTAACTTGGAATCAGCGGTTTGTGACTTTAAAAAGTAGGCATAAAGAGACTGACGATCCAATTATTAGTTGAATATATTTTGGATGAAAGCAATGAATAATAATTTTCTGGTAGAGACTAGTCCAGATACTACTAATTTATTTCCACTAAGAGAAAGTTGTCGGTATAAATCGGATACAAGTTTGAAAAAATTTGAAGTTATTCTCACTTGAATAAATACTTTGCCCAAACAACACAATGAATTGGCTCAGATGGAGTGTTACGTATGGTGCAGGCTGGATAGTGACGCTGACCTAATCCACGAGGTTGACATTCATAACATCCCGTACGATAGATTGTCGCTTGATTCGCTTCTGTGTTGGTGGCTTCCGATTCACTCGTTTCAACTACGGGGATTAATGGCTCGACTTGTCCCAAGTAACCAGCTGTGCCGGACTCAATTAAGGGAATCTTTGCCGATATACACATACGATTCACATGTTTTCTTGCAGCTGTACGGAAGTTAATAACGGAAATATGAATGTGACGCTATAAACAAATAATAAGAAATCTTAAGTGCTACCCCTTGTTTGATATTAGTATGGTGTCAAAGATAATGTCCTCGTATAGGTGATTAAAAGCTTTTTTTTAATTGTAACGAGGAAAAAATGGATGGGACAAAAAATAAGAAATAAACTAACAGGATATGAGAACAATGAAGAGGTAATTTATATGTACCTACATATCATATCTAACTCAAATGAAATAGCAAAAGTTTAAAGCTTATAAACGTTAAGACATTATCTAATTTGACTATTTTAAAATAATTAATTATAGTAAAGAAACGACAAGTAAAAACTACATATTTCCTGAATACTTAATTACGAATTAGTATATGGATGAAATACTGTAGAACTGTAAAGCTGAAGGAATGCGACACCACGAGAACTATTTCAATTAACTTAGATGATTTTTTATTAAAATTACTTCTAATGTTGGCTCAAACTAGTTGGATAATGTACGAATACCATAACTGTTTGTAGGGTCAGTAGTGAAATTCAAAACTATAGTTCATAGGGGTCAATATGTGTGTTTGAAACTAAACTTTACAAGTTTTTGAAAGAACCTGAATTGTGTGACCCATTCCATTTCTTTGCTGTTAATTGGAACTTACCAAATTACTCACCAGCTACTTGGATATGAGTTATACTCAAAGTATAATGGATAATAATACTATCTGGCTAACTAAACCAAAATACATAGAGTGGGGATTTTGAACTTTGTTATTATAGGTAAAAGAATAGCTGATAATTTTGTTTGTCAACTGTTGAAAATTATAATTAACAGGATTAAGAATGACAAGTGGTAGTCAAGACTGTGTGAGTAATTTTACACATGTCAAAAAGTGGCCCATGCTAGTTATATGTATACAGAAACTTCTGCAACTAGGTGGACACCAAGACAAGCAAATATACGTTATAAACAGGCTCTGTCATAAAAAGTATAGCGCTGAACGTTTCATCGACAGAGGTAATATCAAACACTCCTAGTTAATCTGAAATACTATGAATTAGAGAAGTTCAATACACATTTTAGTCTTTGTGGTTGATTTTTAACTGATTTAATGAAGTTTTAATACCCTGCATCTAGATAACAACCATACAACTCTACACAGATGTTCCGAAATTAGGATTGACTGGTTAATTTCAGTACCCTATTATTTGATTTTCCCTTTGTACTTCAATTAGTAGTTAATGCATTTGATCTTGCTCGTCCATAGGAACTTTCTACCTTAAACTTACCTGAATATGGATAACCGAATATTGAACTAGCCCTTCTACAAAATATAGCATGAAACCGAGTATGTGAACCTCAAGTCATTAGCACTTCTCATTGAAGTTGAATCAAAACACATTCTTATCAAATCATACGTTGAATTTCCAATATACCCTAGTTATATCACTCACTAAGATGTAGTAGTTTGATAGTTAAGGTATCCGACTTTTAGCTAATAAATCAAAGGTTCGAACCTCAGTCCATCTTCGATTTAAGTAAATGAGTGATATCATTAGTTTTTACATTATGTGGCTCATTCCCAAATACCTGGTAAATGAATTAATCACATTTATATATTATTACCTATCTAATATGCAGGGGCGTATCATTAGTCTAAAAGTTAGAATTTATACATGGTATTTCAAGTTTGTCATTCTCCATCAACATACAGAAAAACGTCAATAAAAGGGGAATAATGGAATAAAAACATTACTCTCAACAGTGATATGAAACAAGAAAATAAGCACCGATTTGTACGTGCATGAGACTAGAAAACTGAGAAACAGTGAACAGAATAAAGTTTACGATTTGGATAGGAATTGCGACAGATGAATCTGATTCATTGACGCCTATTATAAGTTACATTAACCTCTAACGGTAAACTGACATTTCATTGCATGCTTCATCCAAAATAAAAAGTAGTGCCATCATTTATTCGTTTGAACACAAATATTGGTACAAGAGGGCACCAAAATACATATGCACTATACAATAACAATGAGGTTGTAAAGAGACAGATAATGCAAAGTGTGTACAATAAAAAGTAGTACAGCGACGAACAGAATTTGTGTATGAGTGAAATAATAATAATGGGAAAAACAGTTCAGTTAGCGAAAATACAACCACAGAGAATACTTTCAGTTAAAGAAGTTGCATTCACTTTTATGAAGTAAGAGTTACAGTAGGATTGTCAACGGCTTCTATTCTGAGCCATGTCTGGTAACATCTCAAGCCATTGTGTTGTACCAACCAACGAGCCGTGAAGGTCCAACAGAAGCCAGTCCTGCCTTCTCGTGGCGGGGGTGTTGTTTACAAAAATGAGAGGACGAAAAGCGAATGTCCGGCGCTTTAACCGGATTCCAAACAAATGGTGCACATGGGCTCCAGTATCCTGCCTGAGAGAACAAATGGCGTATGAACCAATCGTTGGTCACCGGTTACCATGGGACTGCATCTCCTCATGATGCTCCACTGCCTTGTGGGTCAGACGTTTAGGTCGAAGGCTCGGGGTGTGGCCCCCTAAGAAAACCACCTGCTTCGGTTTGGGCACCCGGGTAGTATCACAGCCCTCACACAAATCAATTGAGATTCGTGTGGCGCATATGTACTTGGTGCTTCCCTGTACCTTTACTTATGTGTTAAAATAAAATAAAATAGTCCTGTAAAGCTTTCTTTCATGCCACAATACCATGTCATACACTGACCACTTCTCTGTTTTGTCCAACCTGTCCCAGCGTCGGCAAATTATACACAACGTGAAATTCTCTGGAACGACATTCGTAGATCATATCCAAACCACCGAAGTCGATATTTCAAGATATTAACACTAATTGAATTATCGTCACTATTCCCGAACACACGATGCCGAACATCTGTATTACTAACATGGTGTTGCTACTGGATGTCAGTGATCCTTCGGAGACAACGATAATCAAACACAGAGAAACGTCTAACATCCTCAACTCGAAGAGGCCAGGTTTCATGAGCATAGAGCAAAGGCGCTCTCACAGAGGCGTTGTAAATCCGACCTTTTACAGCCATACTAACGTCATGATGGCGCCGAAGATGGTTCAGATTGGCATAAGCTTCTCTGACTTTCACGAAATGATCTCATCACTCATGCCGCTACCAGCACTTATGCAACTACAGAGATATACGGACTTTTCGACCTCTTCTATCCGCTCACTACTCAGGGTGAGTGCAGGACCAGGGTCCTGATAGCCTTGTAAAACTACTTTTACTTCTGGTGAGGCTGCTTATTATTTACAATTGATAATATTCCCTTTACGCATCAATTTACTTGATGAACTTAAAATTTCGATGCAAACATTCGTCAGAATTAAGCTTCTTAGTTTGCCTATAAAAAGTAGGAAGGACTACTCTGTTATAACGCGGCATAAAAAACATAGAAAAAAACAATTGGACGTATACATGACAAAGATTTGAAGTTTTGAAGCTAATGCTAGTTTAAACAGCATGATCGAACACTTCCACTACTTACCAAGATTATCTAAAGCATTAAAAACAACAGCAAACTTTCCGAAGAATTCCGAGTCGAATGACGAGCTAGTATAAAATGGGAAATTCCAGTGATAAAAAATACCTGAATATACTCTTGTGGTAAGCAACAATATGAGCAGTTGGTTTAAATGCCAATACATTGTCCCTGGCAGTCTGAGACAGAGATTATACTGAAATTAACCACAAACTTCTGCTTTTGAACGCCCAACATGCTTCTTACTGAACAGAAATTGTCTGTTTAAGTTGCTTACATCGATGGTATCAAGGTCTACCTGAAAACCAAAGAGAATGACGTAATGCAGTGTCATACAATTGTTATGTCATTGAATCCGTTATAAACCAAATTCTTCAACAGTTCACATCCAATACCACCAGCTCCAACGAGTAATACAGAATCGCTCGACTTCGCGCTCATTTTGTCCTTGGATTGTGAGTCAGAAAAACATCTAGTAACTAACTGCGACATTCAATATGAATGGAATGTAGCCTCACTCGTTTTACCAATCGTCTGAAATCCCTTTTGAAGGAAATGCAAATCGGAACGTTTATGTAAAAACATGACACATGTTTAGTAGTAAATATGTTCCCAAAATCAGTAGCTCTGTAAGTCTTCGGCATTTGATGCTGACCGCATTAGTTTTAATGGACTCATATAGCTGAGGTCACTCGACCGTGCATCTGCAACAGATCGCAAGTGAGTAAGCCGTGCTTCACTTCTTCTACAATTCCTAGCCAGCTTACATTATTCAGTTCCTGATATGCCGATATCCTATCAAGTATATCTCCCAGCCTCTTTGCTGGGTTGGTATTTTTCGATTATAAAAAGTGTTGTCAAGATTCTAGGACTTGTGGCATCCTTAAAAACAACCATATTGTCAGATGTAAAAGAATTAACTACGCCTAGTTTGATATATTCCTCTTTGTTTGGGTTACATGGCCAGTGGAACTCAGGCTTCATGGAAGAACAAAAATTTAACGTTCGAATAACTGGATTTTTAATTCTGTGGTCCTCGTAAAATACTCTTCTACGTAAACCGATTTTGAAATACAACCTTCGTTTACAGTCGAATCTGAAAATTTTGCACAAAGTGAAGGCTGTGGACTGTGAATAGTGAACTTTGAATCAATGACTATTAATTTGCAACTTATGGTCTCAAAGTTTTTTCATCTATAAGCAAGTTTACTGAGAATTTAATGTGTATGACTCCTAAAATATTCACTTCACGAACGCTTGGTCTTTGTAGTTCAAATAACCTGTTCAGAATAATTTTTCTGGTTAGCGTTTTTCTAGCGAGTTAGTTTTCTACGAGATGGGGTCGCTGACCCCATGCCCAACCCTCCTTCTTTATCCGGGCTTGGGACAGCAGTAGCCGCCAAAGGGACTGCAGGTGGAGTTTCAAACAACCTGTAGCGGTAAGTAAATCCCCGAAACAAATATTCGTGTAAGTTTACAACACTGTCGCTGTCCTCAGCGGTTGTACTTATCATACTCTAGCTGAAGGCCTATATTTAAACATTCGCCTCAAATCGTTTTTGGGTACGCCTTTCTATACATCTCACGTATCAGCTAGTCATCTCAGCTCATTTATTTATCAGTAAATCAACTATCTTTCAGATGTGTCTTCAAACTCCATCATCCCTGATTTCTGGTTTGATCGGATGTCAAACACTGAGTATCCTGACGTCTTTGAAGCTATCATTAGTAATTAACCGAAAGAACTTGCAACGTACTGTGAGTTATTGTGTCCGACAGTGTCATCCAACGCATCCCGTTTGCGTTTTATAATTTATCGATAAATATTTGTAACCATATTGGATCCGAATAATTTCACTTCTCGACTATTTTAGCAAACACCGCATGGATTGTCACTATACGAGTTGAAGATGAAAGTTTATGTTTCACGTGTCTAATTTAAATTATTTTCATGAACAGATGTCACTGATATTTGGTGCTTGACAATCCTACATTCGTAACGCGTTTTTATCGTAGACCCCAAAACCTGGTCGATAGGAAAGTCAGAAATGAAGGAGTCAGAAGTTATATTTGATAAGTACCTGACGCTTCGAGTGCATATAAATCAAGCTGAATAATTGTTGCCTTCTAAGTAAACAGCCTTTAACTAGTCAGTGCTGACGTTAGCACTAGTTTCGTTCTGTCAAGCGTTCATTTGTTCATGATGAAGAAATTCGAAGGTTTCTTCATATGCCATCTAGGGGTGCCGCTGAACTGAGTTCATTCTCGTCATTCCACAAAGTGTTGAAAGAACGCACAGAACAATACTTGGCTAGGAGTTTCCTACCGAAGGATGTCATGTGTTCTTTACTCATTGTTGTAAGACTCTCTGAACTGCTAATGCGGATGTGCCTACGGCGGTATTTATAGGCGGCTTTGTATCGTGATGTAGAAGTGTGGTTTGTTTTGAAATACTGCACGTCATTGTGAAAAATGCATTTTCTCATTGTCATCCGATTTGGTGATTCTTGCATTTCCACTCAGCTGGATGATTTAGACACTTGATTTTCAAGAGGAAATTCTAATGCATCTACGGCAAACTGTAAAAGTCTGATGACTGCATACCAACGTCTACACACACACTATAAACACCATGAAGATTGAAGAACTCGAAGTATTTGGTCTGCTAAATGAATATGATGGCGGCAAATTTGTGGAATCCCATCACCTGCATCCCAGATTACGGTCACCTGACACTTGAAATCCCTTAAACATGTCTTTATCTATCCATAACTCAGAGTCGACTAACGAAAGACTGGAAGAATGCTGTATTACGCCCTGACTTCAAAACAGCTACAAGACAACTTGAGAACTATCAACCAGTAAGCCGCATTTCTGTAGCTGTTAAAATTTTAAAAAATATTATCTGGAAGTTGTCTATGTATTCAAACAAAAACAAGCATAGCTTTACAACAGGTTATTTGCGTTACACCAACTTATCAGTAGCACGTAGAAGTTAGTTCGCTCTTAAAAACCAGGTTTCCTATAGATGTGGCCTATATCGCCCTTAGCAAGGCGTTTCACAGTTCTGCGCAGCTGTCTATTATCTGAGTTAAATAATATCCGGATTTGAGGCAATTTCTTAGTGTACATAAAGCGCTTCCTAGTTCTGAGTTAGCAAATAGTAAAGATAAACTCAAAGATGTTTAAATGTCAAACTGTGCTTACCAAAGTGCTTCAGGGTACAGTTTTGGGGCCAGTGTTGTCTCGACATGGTGAAGAAGATTTGTAGCTCAGGTGGATGATTTTGATGGGGCATAAGTTCAAGTTTAAGGTCAACAAGAACCAGTCAACATCGAGTTGTACAGAACAAGCCGTTAAATACATGTGCAGAAATTCGAACACTTCACTTCTACTTGAAGTTTGTGCTGATGTCGTTCGGAAGAACTATGAAATCTCCAGCTTGGAGAACAAAACTCCATCAAAATCAGTGTTGTTTCTCTTGTATGTAAATGGCCTTCCTAGTCTCCTGTCATCATCGGTTTTGATATATTCTAATAATATCAGGAAATGGAGGGTGATAAAAACGTAAATGTGATAGTTTAGATCTTTAAAACTTACTGGGAAAGTTGTCTGAATGGTCGAGAATTTGACAATTGCCGAGAAAAGCTTCCAAGTACACTATGATGCATATTGGTCATCAACGTGCGGATACATACACGGTGAATAACACTTAGAGACCTGTTGTGCAGACACACAATGATCCAGGAGTCTCATTATTCATGACTTAAAGACTTCTAAGTAATGCCGTGCAATACCCGCTGAAGGTTTTAGAACCTTATGCTCAATACACACGGCTTTAAGACATTGTATATAGTATTCGATCGTCCTACACTCGTGCAATCCATACAAAAAAAAAAAAAACGAAGCCTACTCAAGACCCTATAAAATCTAAAAAAGGCTCCAATAGCGTCGACCAAAAAAAGGGGAGACAGCCATTTGTTTATCGTAACACTGCTTTTAGCACTATATTTTATAACTACATATTCTGAACCACCTCCATTTGTCAGTTGATTATTCACTCATACCTTGTCTACAGTTATTTCCTTTAACCTATTAGGATGTTCCTGCGTACTAAAATACTTTAATGAAAGAGAATCAGACTGAGTAGTCATACCTCAACCACTTCTTCATGAACATTGTCTTCTCTGCTTCTCGTCCTTTATTTTTTGTTTTCTTGAACCGTTTTTCAGCCCCCTTGAGATACGGAACGAGTGACCCCGTCCTGCACCATCTTTAAAGACTCAAATATTCCAAAGGGATATAAGATTGCGATTTCTAGAAGCCCTCAACTGCACATGAATCTAGTATCGACCGTCAGTTGCACGTCGCAACGCAACTCTCATGAAGCGCGCCAACTGTGATACTGACTAAAACCATTCTACATTCATATCTTATAAATTATAGACCCAGCTGATTAATTTACTTCAGTTGGAAATTGCATCATTTGTAACAATTTGATCTTGCCTGTAAACTGGCATGCTTCATGTAACAAAATGTTATTTGAGAATAAATTATTATTATTATTATTACAAGCGCCTAGAGCCTCCTAAAAATAGGCTGTGAGCGTTTGGTAAATGTCTAAATGACCGCAACTAGGCTGATTCCTAGACAGAAAAGCATCTGTATGTTGCTCGACTGGTTAAACTAAACATATTTTCATCGTCATATAGAAGAGCGAGAGATGACTTGACCATATATTATAAATTGCTTAATGATAAACTTGCATCGGGTATCGCCTCATTATTCTCCCTTTCTACGACAGTGAATTTACAAGGACACTCTAAGATAGTTAACAAGCCCAGAATAAATCGCTTATCAGCTGAGTAGCGTTTCAGATTGAGCCTCGAAGTGATTAACATATAGCCCTTTACATGGTCTCCATAACAATGGAGAGCGAAGACGTTCGTCTGTTATTGAAAGTTTTGACCAAGTTATACCTTTCGTCTTGTGTCCCAGCTATACCGAGTTTCTAGTTAGTGGGTAGATTACCCTTCACCAATGATCACTCGGAGAAAGAAGCAAAGCGAAAGAAAAGTTTGTCCTCATATCTCTTCAAAATTCATAATGTTGCACAAACGTGCAGGTCAATTTTTGTTCGGATGCTTCGGCAACTCTTTGTTATTGCGAGTCCCAACCTCACTGTTCGAAGAACATTATGGTGAAGATGAGGATTTGTAGTGGCATTGGGCCCTACCACGAGACAATATGAAAAATAGACATTCTAAATTTGACGCGGAGAAATACAGAGGAATGGAGAAAGGCGGAAACAATAATTAGATAAGTTGAAGTTGATAGTATGCCATGGCTCGGCCTTGCAGGCGTGGTCCCCGCTAAACGTTACGTTATATTATTTATTCATATTAAATGTATATTGTCCCATCTCTA